TTCCCATTGTTTATCTTAAGTTAGCAGAATCTTTTCCTTTTATTTTTTTGTTCCTTCATAGCTTGTCAAGAGGCTGCTGCTCATTGCCTGTCCTTCAGCTGACTCCTCACAGCAGTGGGTGGTAGAATGTTTAGACCATGTTTGCAGAAGAGTGGAGTGTTTGGTCCAATATCAACAATATGACCTCCAGAATGTCCTATTATTTATGCCATGTTTGCAGAAGAGTGAGATGTTTGTTCCAATCTTGAAAAATATGACATCCAGGAAGCTGTATTATTTGCACCATGTTTGTGGAAGAGTGACATGTTTGGTCTCAACATTTGCTTAGGAATGTGAAGCTGGGAGACCTAGCTAAAGCAAGGTGATCAGATTTTATGTTCTTTAAGTCTCCAGATTGATAGGAAGTAGATCTAAATTATTGGAAGAAGAACTTAAAATGTATCAAGTTTTCATTGAGTTATTCATGCTTAGCTGGTGGCCAAGTCACAACTCAAATGAACTGACTTTTTTTTCATAACCAGTCTAATATATCAATCAAATCTCAGTGTTTTGTTGGGGACCTTTTTCTTAAACTTTAGATCAGCTTCTCATATACCTGTCAATTCCAAGAAGATAAAATTTGAGCAAAAATACCACTCTGTATGAACTTCATTCAGAAACATTGCACTTTTTGCACACCAAATTGCATGCTTTTAAAATTAATTGTATGTGGAGTGGTACTTAATGTAGTTGATTATTGAAGTGCATATTCTAGTCCAACCTGTTGGATATTAATCTAGCTCAAGTCCAAGCTTTTGAAATGGATGGTATTATGTAGTGTTTAGGACTGATAGATAATACACACAATTTCTTGTTGTCTTGCTTCTCAAATACCACATCACCACAATGGATCCAGTATTATGCATGCCAAAATCCAGGATCAAGCTCAATTGAACTAATTTTCAAAGGATTAAGTTTACTATATTGCCTCCTTTTGTAGCTTAATACCTCAGCAAAAACCTAAAGAACCCTTCCACAAAAAATGGCACCCAATGGACCAGTATTGCAGCCTGCAGAAATAATTTATATATTTTGAAAAAGGACCCCAGACACCCTTTGTCAGCTTTGGTATGATGGTATGGTATGGTATGAGATCATTTGGTATGGTATGACATGACATGGTATGGTATGGTAACATGGTATTGGTATGAGTGGGATATGGTATGGGTTTTCCATTCCATGGTACCATGGTATTGGTATTGAGCTCATATACCACCCCGGAATGGGTACCCTCAAGGTACCCTAAATCAAGGAATTGATGTACCTCATAGGTACCCTAAAATGGGTGACTGAAGTGCCAAAATGGCACAAAATGACCATTTTCTGGAGGCTCTACAAGCATAACCACTCAGTATTTTTAACTAATTCTTTGATAGGCTCATTCAGGTTGACCAGAGGTATGTTTTGGCTACCTCCCCAGTTAGTGCATATTTTTTTTTTTAGATGCCAAAAATGGCCTCCAGAATAAAAACCTTCTCAAGGCTCCAGCTTTCACTGAAATTAGTCCATACCAAGGGAAGTGTAACACAACTACATAATGTAAAAGAATACATGGTACAATAGATTCTTAGAAAGAACCAGAAAAATGAACCAACCTTCATTCTTTTTGCACTCAACTGTACATGAGATAGACACTTACCCATGCCACACGCATTGAAGGAACTAATAACTTGATAGCACCTCACCATCAGAGAGGCCAAAACCTTCACATTTACAAGGGTGATAAACAAGTTGGCAGGGCCACTGGTGTCCATATCCATGGAAAACTGCAAGGGCAAAAAGGATTCTTGCCATGAATTCCTCCAGAAACCCCCAAATTTGGCAACTTCTCTCCAACTGGCATCCAATGTCATACAAAATTCCAACTGTCATTGATAATATAAACAGCATTTTTATCAATACCAGAGCATAGTATTGGCGTTCTCCAGCAGTAGTCATGTTTACTAGCCAGAGAACATGGTCATGACAACACAGCATGGCCATAAGACCTGTATCTGCAAAGAACTGTGTGCTGGCTTTAGTTCTTCTCTCATCTGCTGCAATAAAGGAGGCCAGGCATCCCTCCAAAGCTGAGACAGGGACCTTCATGCCAGGTTCATATGAGTCTTCAGTAGATTGTTCATCAGATGATACATTAGCCTTTTCTTTTCCTTTGGACTTCTCTGGTCAAACTGTTTCAACTAAAGCCTTCATCTCCATTACATATTTCTCAGGCACAAATACTGTATCAGGATGCAGATTTTCAGGTCCCTTTGCCCCACCTTTTGCAGGGTTTCTTCTCTTGTGAGTAAAAAAAGCATCAATGCATACAATGACATCCACCCTGTCACGAACCATCCTCGTGACCCTCTACCTCACATGACCAATTCACGCCAACCTCGCTCCTCGGACTACAACGCCGAACCAACCCCGACCTTGTATTCCGGCAAACGATGCGTATGCAACTCCGAGCAAGACAACTCCGAATAGAACAAGCGCCTATTGTTCTTCGCCTTGCCAAGTCTCCCATTCTCCGCCTTGGCAACCCTCTTCACAATAAGTCCCAACTCCGACTCCACGTTTCCTTACTTATCGTCTCCGTCTCCATGATACTTCCACATGGCCCTTGTTCCCTTTATTGTTTTACTTTGTACCGACATTACCGACCTCTTCTCCCTTTTCACAGACCCTATTCTCTACGACTCGTATAAATACTCCTCGAATGTACCAAGTAGCCTCATCCTTGATATTAAAGTTAACTTCTGTCTTGTTCCTTCGTCCTCTCGTCTCAGTCTCTCATCTGTGTTATTCCTACTAACTTGCCTCGGACTGCAACTCCGACGCCGAATCCACCTTACGCTGAGTTATCACGTAACTTTGTTACACTAACACTTCGCTTAGTGACTCGTTCACTTCTTGGAGTTCAACTCCGTGCCTTCTAGTTTCTCGGAATTAGCTCCATACACTCATGCTCCTGGACCTAACTCCGAACAACGACTCTATTATAGATCCCCTTCCCTTCCAGTCTAGTACTACCGGTGGTATTTACGTCGACCGCTACTTCACCTCTCGCCCTATCTAAGGAATAGGACGGATCCTAACACACCCTTGAAATGTACCAGTCATCAGAATCTATTTTTGACCCAATTTAAAAAATCACTTACATAAAATTTGGGTCAGGTGGATTATCCCCACCAAAACAGAGAGGGCATCGCTTCCGCAATTACTCACTTGGATGAGGAATATCAGAATCATAGTTTGTAGTATTCTGACTCTCATGAGAATCATCACTAGCATTATCTGCCACCGAAGTAGGACTAGAAGAAGGTGGAGGTTCATAGTTTTGGTCTACTGTGTCTATATTATCTGATTCAAATGGAGACCCAGCCTCCTTGAGCCAATTTAGACAAACCTCATTTATAACCCCAGATATCAAAAGTTCTTTCTGGGAAATGAGATTTCCATACCACTGTAGTGCATTTCCAGCGATGCCTTATGGCATCTTTACTCTCAAGCTTATAAGTGCGTGTCAGGTATGTGTCAAGTTTCTATGCTCGCACGTTTATCTTTAGAATTAATATCTTTTAATCCATAATAAGGTGAGACCCTGGTTTGGTGTAAACTCCAACACCCTGTGCGGGGGTGTCTTTACTCTAGAACACTTGGTAGTGTACTATTTCATGGTAGCATAGCCTTTTATTAGACTTCAAGTATATTGAAGTGATTTGGTCATGAACTGACTGCAATTGCTACTGCCTAAGGCATGCACATTTCTCAGATGTAGACTTTAATCGACTAGACTGGGTTGCATCTAACAATCCTTATGATCAATGTGACTGTATTTCTACTATAGGAGGTTTTATAGGAGAAATTGCTAAAATTCGCATTTTTATGGGTGTACTGTTACATTCTATATCAATGGGACCGGAATCCAGTGGAATCCAGTGGAGTCCTGTGGAATCCAGCAGAATCCAGTTGAATAAAACCACAATCCACCATAAATAGCAGTACTTTACAAAAATCTCTGGTTTCGGGTATTTGTACCTGATGCTCACATCCCCCAGCTGACATCTCAAACGACGATGATTGGTATCCAAGTTTCATAAAGCGTTGGCCCATGTGGGAATGGGGACAGGCATGAAAGGAGAGTTGACATCAGCCATGTTCACCTCAGCTATGCAAGAACACTTCAAAGGTCCTGGACCACCATGACGTGTTGGGTTGGGCATGACTGGTGGGATGGATGGTACCGATGAGCATCAGGACAGCTGCTGAGAGGCCACAGAAAGCAGAACTGCCAGAATTCACAATTACTACATATGTTAAGCTTAGAATGGTGAGACCCACATTTTGAGGATGGTGCGGGTTGTTGTCTGACACTTCTGGAAGCTGAGGGTTGTTGTCCGACACTGCTGGATGGTAACAGGTAAGCTAAGAGAAAGGTAGAAATTAGTCTCCAAGGTTACATAGAAAGAAATATGAAAGAACCAACCAGATGGGCCAACTTTCCCCACAGACAACAACATGGATGCAGATGGCAGAGGAATAGAATCTTCATTGAGGTATGTGAAGTGGGTTGCATCATTACAAGCTGAAAACTTACATTCATCTCAAACTCCCCCAATACTAGCTTTCCCCTTAATGAAGTCTTGTCAACTGATTGCAGTGACATTGTGAAGGTCCATGATTGCACAGCCTATATGTTGGGTCCACCTGTAAAGTTTGGACGAGGGCGGACCAGTCGCCAGAACAGGGTATGGGTCTAAATTGCCCTCATGATCTTTGAAATGCTCAAGAACGATCATCTTGCAATGTTGCTGGAAAGATGGGATGTTGACATTCATGGTGGGGAGGATTCGAAATGAGGGGAGGATCAGCCATACAGGGATCCCCATTGCCTGCAGTTGTTGAGCGACCTGAACCTTTTCTGTGAAAGCCCCCATCAGATCCTGATTGGCATCATACTTCACCATGCCATTGGGTCCAGGAAACAGACAAGGTTGATAGATGTCTATGAAATTGATCCATGCATGGATGTCAAGGACAGCCCTCTGGAATTCTGCTATGCCCAGTAGGATTTCTTTGTACATCATCCCAAATAATCGAAGCCTATCAAGGGCTTGACACATTGTGGTAACCAAAAGACCTGCAAGAGGGGAGCAGTCGCATCCCTCTCATTTTGCGATTAAACCAACATACTTGTCATGAAGATCCTTGTACCCCTTCAGGAGTTCTGGCTTGAGTATGCAAATGGAGATGGAGAATGGTGAATTGGGAATCATGGGGCAATCAGCAAGGGTGGGTGTCCACCACAACATGTGGTGAGACTGATTGCGTTGGGGGATGCAGCAGATGTACTCGGGACCTTGGACGTACATCTGGGGGTGGAGGGTGTGCACTAGTCCCTACCACTTTTTATGATAAACTACAGGCAATTGCCTGCAACGATTTGATCATTGCCTAGCTTTTTATGAAATTGCCTAGCTTTTTATGAAATGAAATACATAAGGCAAACCTTATGAAATGCATCTCATTTCTTCCCAAGGCTTTATATCATTGCAATTTCACTTCTATTTCATTCCTCCCCAGGGTTTCATTTCATTTTTTTCCCCACTTTATTTCATTTCTGCCCAGGACAATTTTTCATTGTGATATTGTTGGTATTTCATTTCTGTTTCATTGTGATATCTTGGTATTTCATTTCTGTTTCATTGCGATATTTTGGGTATTTCATTTCTGTTTCATTGCAATATTTTGGGTATTTCATTTCTGTTTCATTGCAATATTTTGGTATTTCATTTCTGTTTCATTGCGATATTTTTGGTATTTCATTCCTGCCTAGCATCATTTTTCATTGCAATATTTAGGTATTTCATTTCTGTTTCATTGCAATATTTTGGGTATTTCATTCCTGCCTAGCATCATTTTTCATTGCAATATTTTGGTATTTCATTTCTGTTACTTTTTCATTGCAATATTTAGGTATTTCATTTCTGCCTAGCATCATAGCAAAAAAAATGAGAAAAAGATATGAATGGTGCACAGAACATCAGGCACTGCCTTCAGGGTCCACTTCACAGTCCATCCCAAAGATCACCTGGTTTGACCAAAAGTGACGAAAATTAAGAGGAGAATGTTGTTACCTATCAGGGTCCATGTAATGGGATGTTGGGATGATGGTCACATGACCAATTACCAAAAATGGTCAAAAGACCAAAGTTGTAGCCCTACACTGTAGCTTCCTGAATCTGTTTGAATTATATTCTGAAGTGCTCCTGTTATGGAGATATGAGGTAAAGGAATTTCAAAAGTGTCATGTTTTTTTGTTTTTGTTTTTTTTGTGTTTTTCTCCATGAAAACAAAACCAAACAACATGATTTCAGTATATTTAGAAAGCTAAAAAAAGGGCTACAATTATCATATCATGGGAAAAATGACCAATAAAGGAAGGTGCATGCTTAGAAAAGAAATTGACACTGACAGACTATAAGAGTCTACCATAGACTACCAAAAAGTCAGACATAGACTACAAAGTTTACTAATAGACTACAAAAGACTACAAAAGTCGGACTTAGACTACAAAGTTTATTGATAGACTACAAAAGTCAGACTTAGACTACAAATTTTACTGACAAACTACAAAAGACTACAAAAGTCGAGTTTACTGATAGACTACAAAAGTTGGACTGAGACTACAAAGTTTACTGATACAATACAAAAGACTACAAAAGTCAGACATAGACTACAAAGTTTAGTGATAGACTACAAAAGTCAGACTTAGACTACAAAAGCTTGGACTTAGACTACAAAGTTAGGGTTAGGGTTAAAAGCATATCCAGACTACAAAGTTTGTAGTGTCTGCTTTTCATCATTACAAAATTTTGTAGTGTTCATTTTTTCCTTAGAAAGGTTTGTAGTGTCTGCCTTTTGGGACTACAAAAGTTTGGTGTGCACTTTTCCATTTGTAAATTTTGTAGTCTCCACTTTTTGAGACTACAAATCAGAAAAGTTTGTAGTGTCCGCTTTTTGAGACTACAAAGGTTTGTAGTGTGCGCTTTTTCAGGAGAAAAGTTTGTAGTTGACTGACATGTAGTTTATGGTGTCCTTGGCTCTGTCTAGGTTATGGGGATGAGGTTGAAGGATTAACATCATCTTACTTACATATTGCCAGTTCTGCTGCATTAGTTTTTGACATCATGCACAAGCTGTCTTTCACATTAGGAAAGGCTACTTTATGCCTTCATATTGATAGCTACTGATCTGTCGAGGTCTTGTCTCTCCCCCACATGTTCTGATCAGCACTGATCGGCAAGAGGATTTTTCTGATCAGCACTGATCAGAATTAATATACCTCCTTTCCCAGCCATTTTGGCTGGAAAGCAACTCAGCAATGGCCTCACTCAGAGTTACTCAGCACTGATCACAACTGATCAGAGTGCTCAGTGCTGAGCAACTGAAATGCTGCTGAGCAACTGAGATGCTGAGTGACGCTGAACAGAACTGAGCAATACATGAGTATTACCCTTGTTATTATTATACTAATAAAAATAAATACATGGACAAGGATTGAACCCAGGCATTCATAGACAAATCACATGATCACAAAAGCACAATATTACCACTGGGCTATCTGACTGTATAAAATATATATAACATTATAATATATAACCCATCGTCACCTCTGGCTTTCCTAAACGAGTCTCGGCAAACGCTGACATTTGATTTGGGATCATCCACACTCACCCTCTTCTTCCTCACCCACCACCATCATCCACGACACCCATCCCCACGTCACCATGCCACCACTCCAATGAACTATGATGACGTGCCAACGGATGACAACAACAACAGATGGCAACAACACGTCGACGGACGACAATGGACAACAACACGTCGACGGACGACAATGGACAACGACACGTTGACGGACGACAATGGACAATGACACGTTGACAATGATGAACAACATGTCGATGAACGACAGGTCGATGAATGACGACGACGGGACAACACATCAGCGACAACGACAATGGCCACGTGTCGACGGACAACAATGGACGACAACGACACAACACGTCAGCAGCGACAACAACACAACACATCAGCAATGACGACGACAGCCACACATCGACAGACCACGATGACAACAATACGTCAACAGATGACGACGACGGCCACACATTGACGGACGCTGAGGATGATGACCACGTCAACTGTCGACGTCAACGAGCCCCCTCTCTTTTCTCTCCCCCTTCCTTTGTCCTCCCCTTCCCTGTCCCTCCCCTCCCTCTTCCCCCTTCTCTATTCATCCCCTTCCCTGTCCCTTCCCTGTCCCTCCCCTCCCTCTTCCCCCTTCTTTATACATCCCCCTTCCCTTTTTCCCTCCCTCTTCCCTCCCCCTTCCCTTTTCCCTCCCTCTTCCCTTTTCCCTTGCCCATCCCCTCCCTCTCTAGTATACACTGTATGTAATTAAATGTATTTTGTATTATAATTGAAATACATCATTTTTTGATTCAATTTACTTGTGAATTTTATAATGAGGTCTGAATTTCTGACTTTGATAAATACAGTTCAAGTCACCTGACCTCTAACTCAGTGCTGATCAGAGCTGATCAGAACTGTTCTGATCAGCAATGCTAATTGCTGCTGTGCTGAACCATCCTGTCTGATCGGAGGGTAAAGTACTGGTTCTGTCCTATCTCAAAACATAGTTATAAGGTCATGGGTATATGGCTGAAGAATTGACCTGACCTCACATATTGCAATTGCTGCATCATCACTTTTTCACATCATGCCCAAGTTTGCTTTCAAACTAGAGGAGGCCATTCATGTGAAGCGTTCACTCTGAACTTCTCGCATAGCTGAAGCCCCAGAGGGAAGGAGGAGGCAAGAATGGGTGGATCTGAGATCAACACCCATGAGTGAGCAATGAGCAGTTACAAGATACTCAGCTGGCCCAACATGATTATGCATACTGTAGGAAGTACAGATATACAAAGCACTACATGTAGTGCAAGAGGATGGCAAGACTGCTGACAAGCTGGTGGTTCAAGACTAAAGATCAATATATTATGTAAGATATGCAAATCTAGCTATATACCACTGTTTATATCACAAAGCCCTCCAATGTCCAGAGGGCATGTAAGAAAAACAATGGTGGGGAAGAATAATAGAATAGAAATCCTCTTGCCCCCCAGAGTGGATATCAGGATAAAATGAGACCAAAAGGTAGGAAAGCAAAGAAGATGAATAAAAGAAAGAAAAAATTTGGCCCCAAATAATTTCCTATCTGGAAAGCTGGTCACTGTAAGCTCCCAGCTTGACCCAGAACTACCCATATGATCATCCCATTCTCTCTTCAGTGATGTATAACCATGAGTACTGGGAAACCATGCAAGTGGATGGCTTCCAGGTCATCCATCCCAACTCCATTGCCTTTCCCCATCAAGATGGTGTAGCATGCTTCCATCATACTATCATACTTGTGGTCTGGGTACAAGGCATGTATAGTGTGATAGAGGCTTGCACCTCTCCACTCAGATCATTGATCCCAACTCAACTCCCTCTACCCATCAAGATGATGTAGCTTGCTTCCATTGTGGTGTGTGATCTGGATGTGGGGAGTGTGTAATGGGATAGAGGCTTGCACCTCTCCTCCCATATTCCACCTATACTCCCATACAGCCCCCCACTTTTCCAGTGTGCAAATCTCAAGAATCAAGCCAGGGAGGATAGAGGCAAAGAGATCGTGCAGTGGAAAATTACAAGCTGTGATCCTGAGTTGGTGTCAGAGTAGGTAGAGGTGGTGCCATGTTGGGTAGGAATGATAAGAGGTTGAAAGAAAGAGGAAGAAAAAAAAATGTTGTCATAAATCTTGCCCCCCAGAGTGGACACAGGCCATGCAACACACAAGCAGCAATCTATAAGGTTACCATGATTGAAGAAGAGTCCGCCACATAATGTGCAAGCAGCAACTCCTCCACACTGATCTGCTGCGAAACGCGTGAGCAGCAATCAGCCTTCTGAACCATGACTGAAGAAGAGTCTGCTGCGTAACACATGAGCAGCAACTCTCAACCAGTTGAGGTGTCTCCCCTGCCCATAAGAGTCCTCCAATCAAGTCTTAACACCCCCAAATAGAGGGGAGATCCTGAGGTAGCCAAAAATGTGTTTGAGCATAGCGTAGTTATTTCTGGCCCGTTCCTGGAGATATAATTCGCGTATCGTGATGAGCCGTGGTCGTTGAGATAGAGAGGAAGTACCCAGAAACTGCAGTTCTGGAGTAAATGCATGCTGCAGACCAGGCCTTTGTCCGTTATTGATGTAAATAGGTGCGTTGGAAAGGTACAATTCAGACGTTTAAAATGGGCTATAGAACGTCCGATGCGAGCAGGTTATGACAATAGGAATGGGGAAATGGTTGTTGGAGAGATGACGCTGTAACGCAAGAACCGCTTGTCTGTCCGATGCGTATGAGGGCTTCCCAGAAGCGCATTGACCGTGGCTTCAAAACGAGCCAAAGAACAAAAGGAACGATGAGGATTTCGTCGAGAACGGACGAAATATGTTCGTTATGGCCATGCCAGGCTGAACTAGGCAAAGCGCAGCCAATACGTGACCGTTGATATGCCTGCAACGCAGTAGATGTGTATGGAAAATCCAAAACACACCAAATACAAAACCTTCGGAAATGGTTAGCGTTGCTTCGAGTGGCTCTGAAAGACACGAGACGGAGTTCTCTGGGCTTCTCAAAACAGGAAAGGTGATGTAGACATAACTCCTAATGTGTGGGAGTGCGTCCGAAGGTGTGTGGGGAGTATGAGGATGTTAGGGACAATGTGAGTGGAGGGAATAATCGGAAAACGAATAATGCGAAGGTTGACAAGTGCACACAGTGTGCAGGACGATGGCAACAAGTATAACGAAGTGCTGAAACGATTATCAGCTGGAACGAGATGCGAATCGAGGGGTGAAGTACAACTTGTTATTTCGAAGTACTATGATACTACAAATACATGAATGTACAAATATTCGAAAATATTCAAAAAAAGGAAATGTGAAAGATAGAAACAAAGATAAGAAGTTCCGAAACATGAAACATGAAGATAGTAAGAGCAAAATCAGAGAAATGCGAAAGAAGTAAAAAAATGAATATAAAATAAAAGAAGAATAAGTAAGGGGTGGAAAGGCACCAATATATTCGGAAAATGGAAGCAAAGACTGGCTGTGCATGGCGATTGATCCTAGGTTAAAGCTAAACTCCAAATGTGCAAACAATAAGACCGGATTGATGGGAATGGATGAATGCCGGAGTATGTGCCTGTGCACATTCTTTCGCAATACAACTATTCGGGCATGTGTGAAGATACATCTGAAGTGGCGAGAAAGCGAAAGGGTAATTGTTGATGAGTCTGCAAATGTCTTGTGAACATGTGTGTGGAGATGTTGTCGAAATCCTCGCAAAGCTGTTGAATATTCGGAAGTTCGGATTTAAAGCGTGTACACATGATAGAATATTCAGGGTGTGTGTGGAAACGCGCGAATGGAACATCCTAAAGTTGGTGAAGACGTCTGAACGTGTTGTTGAATCGAATATAGGCAGGAGGGGACGCGTGCGGAGTAAGATTCGCAAAGTTGGTAGAATATTCGGAAATTCGGGTTCACGTGCCTAGGATAAGCGCGCGCTCATCACCGTTTGGCGAGTTCAGGGGATCGAAAGAAAGGTGTGAATGAGTGCTTCCCGGCGCAAAAGAGACGAGAGCAACCGGGGCGTCGGTCCAACGAACATCTGGCTGTTCTTGAAACAGATATTATTTGTTAACTGGGAATGGAAAACACCAGAATAAATAATTTAGCAGGGCCTGGCCTTCTGCTAAACTCCATTCCACTGGAATGACAGGATTTATGTGTGTGTGCGCCAGCACTGCCAAGACCTTATAAGGGTCCAGATCACATGCCCAATTTAAGGAAAAACATGCACCAAAGTGTAATGTTTATTATAAGGTGAGCATGGGTGTCGCATCAAGGCCTGTTGGGGCCAACCCTGTTCGGAGTGTGGTTTGAAGGTGGAATGGCGGGTTTAAACAACCCTAGAATACCCTTCTACGGAAGATACATCGACGATTGTATTGGCATTGTCTACGCTAACTCAGAGCAGGAAGCGCTAGAATACATGTCACAATTAAAGTTCGATGGCTGTGTTATAGAATGGAACGTGTCAGATTCACATCAACCCTTCTTAGACATGTGTATCTACCGGGATCCCGGAGATAATAGTTTACAACACATGCCTTATCGCAAGGCACGTAACCATATGGAAAGAATACCATGGATTTCTCATCACCCCTTAGACGTTAAACGGGGTACCTATATCGGTGAGATGTCCCGATTGGCCACGCTCAGTAGCCTTAATTCAACCTACTGCGATAGTATACGGAGTTTAGCAACTCTATATACGGCGCGTGGATACCCATCGGAGCTTGTATCAAAATGGACTTCGGATCACATCCGAGAACGTTGGGACAAGCGTTTATCTGTAACTCAGGAACGCCCCGCGGACGAAGTTCTCGTCCTTAAGTCTACATTTAATACCGCATGGAATTTCTTCTCCGCACGAGAGCTTGGAGAAACAGTATTAGAATATTGGCGCGAATATAGTATTCGCGCCGAAACTTCCAACTATAACGTGAAGTTTCCGATGTTTTCCGCCAGTCATGGTGGACTTGATGGTGTGTCTTCGGACTTTTGTTCGGAGATAACTACCGTTGATGGGCGTCATTTGATGCCAGATGTCAGAAAAATAAATATTCTGAATAGAAGAATGATTACAAGCCGCAAAAGAACGCGGAACTTGTTCGATTTAACCAGTCTTTGGAAAAAGACTGTTCTCTCTAGAATAGAACGCGATGCTTTAGCATCTGATATACCAAATGCGAATCCTTATGAATCAGGTAGTTCCGATTCCTCTGACGATTCGGATGATTGGATGCGCGCGTTTAACGAATTCGGATTTAGACAGTTCGTAGCCTAGTTGGCCCCGTATTGGACGCGGTACGTGCTAGTAGCCCAAAGTGGCGAACGTGCTTACTTAGCGTGCCGAACTAACCTGTCGGCGGGTAACGGATGGCGCCTAAGTGTGTCATTGCTGTGCCTTACTTGTAAAGTCGGAGATAGCCAAACTCGTTGTGGTGACGTTAGTGGCTGCCACAATTGTTTACTTCCCATAATTCAAATATTCACTCTCGTTTCAAGACGTTGTCACATCTTGTAAGTACTACGGTTTGATGATTTTTACAGACGGTATTAACCGAGATCATCCAGGAATCCTAACCCGAAACCTAACTCTAACCCTAACCGTGAGTACATATGCTTTTAATAAAGTAAAATTCCAGGTCCTCACCTCCCTTTGAGTATAGCTAACCCTAACTCTAACCCTTAACCCTAACCGGCTAACCCTAACTTACCCAAACGTCCCCCGGCATGGAGGACACGTAAGTCCTTGTACTCTCTTAATAGTACGTACAAGTAAATAGATTTCTCTATATTTATTTATAGCGCCTCTGGCGCTAAGGGGGTTTGGATGCTCTTGCCTTAGATGAATACGCTAAGATTAGAGCGCTTGTTGAGAAAGCGCCCATAGATAAACGCTCTAGAGTAGACGCTCTATGGTGTCCACTGTGATCTTGTTTGGTCCGAAAAGTCCTTAGTAGTTGTAATGACGAACAGCTCCTAGTACGTCCGGATGAGTGATCCGGATGCCTTATTGTTGTCTATTTTTAGCCTTATCTACATAGCCTTATGGCTATCCTTATCTCCAAGTCGGAATGACGCAAGATGCTTATCAGAACAAAAGATAATCTATTTATAGATTCTTATTGTTGATAACGCAATCTAGAATGCTACGCAAAGAACCCGAAGAGCTTATAAAAGCGAAACAGGGAGTGCTGTTTACCCAACAGCACCTGTTGTTCTTTGCTTCGCCAAGCAGCTCTTCCAACAACTCTCTTCAACGCCACTCGCCTTCGGCTCGTGGCTCCACCCACCTAACCCTAACCCTAACCCTAACCCTAACCTAACCCTAACGCAACTAACAACATCGTCGCCTACCGGCTCCTCATTGCACAACTCGGGTTAGCATCTCAACTCACCCTCGGGTTAGACTCCTTCCATGACCACGGGTTACGGGGTTAGCACTATCCATCCTGCATGAGAATTGCTTCAAGTTTATAAAGTATGGCTTTCAAAACCTTCAGCCTGACTCCAGTGCTTAACATACCTCCAAGTCTCAAGTTGCTCTGCCAAGTCTTTTGTTTCCATCACATGTCTACCATAAACCAAGTTCAACCATACTTAAGATGGACTTGGAGATCATAAAGAACTTCCTTGGTAAGTCATCTCCTGGTATGCTACTTGCATGTCTGACTTCACTTGCACATGATAGACTTGATGCTGGGTTACTTATTCCAAGTGTATCTTGTGAACACTTTGTATAGAAGATGGACTTGAACCAGATCGAGATCATAGAGAACTTCCTGGTTTTATCATAATACATCTGTCTGGTCCTCGTATGCTACTTGCATGTCTGACTTACACTTGGTTCTTGTTGCTGCAGATACACTTATACTCATTGCTTGGACTTGCTGAGAAGGTTCTTGTAGGACTTCTTCAAGTTGCTTGACAATCATGGTAAAGAACTTGCTGACTTAGTCTAAGTTTTACACCTTGTTCATCTTCCATGTCTGATACTGAGATCCTTTGTTGTTGGTAGATATCGACTTGTTGACATTGCTTGACATGCATGGCCTCACTGATATAGCTGCATCTTGTCTAGATGATAGCTTGAAAAGCAGATGGAGATGGAAGTGTACCAGAGCAGAACTTATTCACAGGAGGGACATGATGAGTTGATTGACCCCCGTTCAATGATAAGGATGCCTCAGAATTCTTGCGTGCAATGGTTTCCATTCTATTTCTCCTGCATACAGGTCATTGGATGCAAGGTGAGGTTCAGATCTATGCCCCATTGGGACATCAGAATCTTCCCCTCCAGTGTCTTCATTGCTTAACTTGAGCCTTGACATCTTGGCTGGATGGTTAGGTGGAAGAGCAGTTGGAGATGGTTGTGGTCATGACTGGATATGTTGCATGATGGTCAGATGTCATGTCTTTCATCCAAGTTCTTAGCATCTGCCTTGTCTTGAATCTCCAACAAGAATTGCTTCAAGCTTAGAAAGTATGGTTTTCTTATCTCATCTTTCAAAAACTTCAGTCAGTGGTATAGCACATATCAAAGTCCACATGATTATTCCATATAGACATACATCCAAGTCATGTCATTCTGAGTGCAAGTCTGTCTGGTTCTGGTATGCTACTTGCATGTCTGACACTGAGGTGGTTCATGTTCATGAATATGGACTTGTTGACATACATGGCTTTGCTGTGGGCACTTCATGGTTGACATCTTGGCTGGATAGTTAGAACATGATTAAAGTCATGACTGGATGGAATGCCAAGTTCAAGCTTGTGTCTGAAACATGTCTGGCAGGATGGCAGAGAAGATTCAGTGGAACCGAGCTCAGATGTTGCACCCCTGATGTGAAATTTTGTACGTCGGTCACTTGACTATGTACGGTGCTGCTCCCAAAAAATCAGCCCAGGTGCCCAATAACTGACTCCATCTCCCAGTCTTGATGAGCATACTATCGTCAGAGGCTTTGTTGGCTGAGTATTGAGAACCACCTTTAGATATTTTTTATGGTTGCTTGTATTTCATGCAACTTCATGTCTACAAAGTTTCAGACCTGTCGGACACAAAGTCATCTTGCACCAAGTTGGTCCGTCAGCGTAAAGTCGGCTAGGTGGCACCGGGGTCAGTTCTTGAGAACCCAACCTGAAATTTTGTACAAAGGTAGATCCACCATGTATATGCAAGCTCCCAAAAAATCAGCCCAGGTGCTCAACAATTGACACCATGTCCCCACTTGGCGCATATCTTGACGAGCAGACTATTGTCAGAGGGAACATTAGCTGAGTTTTGAGAACCACCTTTAGATATTTTTTACGGTTGCTTGTATTTTATGCACCTTCATGTCTACAAAATTTCACACCTGTCGGACACAAAGTCATCTTGCGCCAAGTTGGTCCGTCATCATAAAGTCGGCTGGGTGAGAACCAGGGTCAGTTCTTGAGCACCTGAGCTGAAAATTTGTACAAAGGTAGATACACCATATATATGGTTGCTCCCAAAAAACCAGCCCAGGTTCCAAAGAACTGACCCCGGTTCTCAAGAAACGAATTTCACCACCAAAGTGAAAAAATGCAAAGATGGATTTTGAAGGCTCAGGAACTTGCTCCCAAAAAATCACGACTTTTTATATTTTACTTTGTTTGGTAGAACCACAGCACAGCTTTGAGAACCACGCGGGATTTAAGGCAGAACCCAGAGAGCCACGATGATGCGGAGGTGCTCCCGAAAAATGAGGTTGATTGGGCGAACAAAAGTCATTAAGCTGCTTAATGAACGACTAATATGGATATTGTGTATTATCATCTCTACATATGTTCCAGCGTGCGTCATTAATCTCTCGCAGGTCGAGGGCACTCGACCTGCGAGGGTTTGTCGCTACAGACTTCACCCATCAACCTATTACAGTATATAACATTCAACCACATTACCCATTACTGTTTCATTTATACCGTTCGACCTGCGAGCCTTTTTGCCCATTTCGTCTAACATTTGTAACACCAACCTTGTTATCCTTACTCTAAAACCCTATAGAATATCATCCAGAACCTTTTCACTTACTCTGCTTTTGCATTCAAAGGATCCTCCTCCCGCCCTCTTCATCATCCTCCATTTCACCTCCCGCGAAATCCCTCCCCCCATCCGAGGATGGCTGGCAATCAACCAAGGTCATACGAGCGGTGGATCCCACCCCAAGAAACCATGCGTCAAACAAATAGGGCTCCGGTCACTGCCAAAACATCCAAGGCAGCTGACCGTCGGTATGATATCTGGCTGCCACCGCCCAACATGGCATCTCGCCAGCCTGAGAAAGGGAAGCCACTCACGACTTGATTCGAGGCGCTTTTCCGTCTTTTTACGCGTTAACCCAGTGCTTGACCGCAATTCACCCAAATTACCGGTGATGTTCAGTCCGCTGCATGTATTGCTGTCCGTCTTGTTTTTAATCCAGACCGCGAATCTCGACGTTGCCTTTGTGACGAATCCACAACTCGGCAGACAGATGCTTTCCTGACGCCTCTCTTATTTTGCACTACTCTTGTAATGTTTACCTTACGTTTTCGAAATCGAAAGGCTTGAGATGTAATGGACAACAAGTAGGTATCATTTAGCGTTGAGATATACAGTATATAAGCGAGAAAAACAAATGTCCAAGGTTCGAGGATCTATCCAATCAGTAGGGAATGTCATGTACAGGTAGTTGCAAGTCCGAACATCCACCGTGGCCGCCTTACACCACCGTCCAGATCCCACTAACCACGACCACAACACCCATCACCACCATCCCTACAAATCCACCCCCAACCAACGTGCTCGCACCATTCTTCTTCCCACCCCCACTCGTCGTGGTCGCAGTCGAGCTACTTCCAGATGAACTAGCAGGCGCAGTCGGCGCAAACGTCGCGCTGGGGCTGGCTATACACGAAGACGCGACGCTCGCGGCTGAGGCGGAGGTGGACGCATGAGAGTTGACGGTTCCGTTGCCTGCGAAACTGCATGCTTGTGAATTACGGTTTTGGGACTCGTAGTATTTTGACATGACGTAGGAGAGTTTGACGGCTGCGGAGGAGGGGGTGGATTAAGGGAAAGACGAGGAAATAAGGCGATGAAACTCACTCGGATCACACCCCGAGACAAGACCATACGTGCCCGCAGCACCATCCGCGGCTATATCGGTACACGTTCCACCCGATTGACCAAGCAGCCCACACGCGGTATTGATCAACTGCCCAGCGACAACCGTGTAATCGCTAACGACAGGGGTGAACTGGCAGCTCAAAGCATTCTTCAAACACTGGCAGGCCGCCAAGTTGGGGGTGGCAGGTAACGTCGTCGATCCCAAGAACGTGCTGTTTTGTGTTGGGCACGCGGGGAAGGCGGCCGCCGCAACCGAAGCTTTAGCAGGGGAGTTGGGAGGCGTAGCAGCGCCGTATTGAGTGCCGAGATTGGTAAAGTCCGTGGATGTCGTGACGGTCTTGTTGTCAGATGATAGTGTGACCATGCCGAATTGACCTGCTGCGCTGGCTGCCGGGAAATAGGAGAAGGCGATGCCCCCGGACCAGACGGGAGACATGTCGGACGACAAGAGGGCGCCTACTTCTGTCCAGGGGCGGGCACCGGAGGCAGGGACACAGCCGTACTCGGAAAAGTAGGCTGCGACGTTGTACCCAGCAAAGTTGTTTTCGGTGTCGGTGTAAGAGTCTGCAAAGGTGGAATTGCCACACCACTCGCTGTGACGTGTCAATGGAGAGGGGAGGATGGGGAGGAGAGAAAGACGTACTAGTTGTTGAGGCCGAAGAGGTCGATCGCGGTTGACCCAGAGTTTGTGTTTGAGGGATCGCAGCTGAAATAGTTGGCCAATGGGTCTCGGAAGTTGTCCGCGCCGTCGATGGCTGCGTAGCCGATGAGGACGCTGGACTTTTTGGCGGTGCTGAGGGGGGGGGGAGGTGAGAGGAACACAAAGGAAAAGAAAGAGATGAATTACAGGTATGCCTTGATGTCTCGAGCAGCTGCTTTTACGAAAGGAGCGACGTTGGTGTTGGATGAGCCGTTGACGACCTCGTTTCCGACGTTGTATGCCAGGACGTTGTCGTACTTGCTGAAGGCGTCGATGGTAGCGAGGTATTGATCCAAAAGGTTAGTAGACCACGCAGGCGAACTGCGGTCGATTGAGCCGTTCAAGGGAAGGGTGAGGTCGATGCTAGCGTGCTTTATCAGGTTAGGGGAGGGTATGACGGACGGCACGAACGTACATGGTATAGATGCCTGCACCACTGAGGGCGCTCATGCACGAATCGTGGTTCTTGGTCGAATCGACGCTGTATACACGAACGGTGTTCACGCCCAGTTGTTGTAGATATGGAAGATCACGAGCGCATCCGGATGCATCCGCGAGAGGGTCAATGTAAGTCGAAGGCTCGCCAAACGGGTTAGCAGCAGAGGTATCAGTGACAATGCCTATGACAAGTAAGCACCGAGCGAAAGGGTGATGAAGAAAAAGTGACCTTGTTGTTGGTAGGCTACACCCTTGATATAAAACCTAGATCCGTCCGCTGTATAGAGGTATCGACCTGTGCGAGAGACTTGTGAGATGGCGTGTACGTTGTACGCCAAGAGGGCGGTGAGGACGAGGGAAACGAGGGCAGGAGCCCCGAACGACTTCATGCTGGGGGAAAGAATGTGGTTTGATGCAGAAGTGAGAACAAAACGTGTCCGACGCAGTTGGCCGAAAGCGTCTATTCAGCACTGCCACTTTTGAAAATGTCATCATTCAAGACACCATACGTAGATGTTCTCTAGCAGGATGCATATAGCATGGAGAGGCGTGTGGTACGCTCATCACAGTATCGAGTATCTTTTGGTTTCCGCTTCCATAAACTTAAAAATATATCATGAGAATAAAACCCTTGTTGGTGTAAAATAGTCATACGCCCAGTGCCAAGTGGAACTGCGCAATTCTCAAGGTTTTTATTTGGGGGCCAAGTTTGGGAATCACAAAAAAAAATGGCCTCCAGTTGACCCATTTTCCATATCCGCGGTATTTTTCTTCCTTGGGTAGTGGAAAATGAAGAATGTATCGAGGAAGGCGATGGCGGCGATGGGGTGACTACATGACATGGGACGTCCAAGATTTGAGTCCGATGTGCAAGAATAATGATTAGGATCTATGATAGATATAATTTTGTACAGATTGCAAAGAACTATCCCCCAAGTCAGCACCGTCGGCCCTTCACCAATGACAGCAAACATACCGTTTATCCAATGAGATCATAATCATTACTCCTCGATCCGGGGTCCTTCGCCTCTATCCTCTGATACATAAAAAACTTTCCATCATCGTCCTCTCCAACCGCCTCCTCCACCAAATCCGCCAAATAGTAGCCCCATCCAAAGTCCGAATCACATCAACCGCAGTATCCCAAGTCTCCGCACCCTTGCTCTTCGCTAAAATCCCATGGACCATGCGCCTTGACAGCAGGCTCCCCTTGAGAAACGAGACGCGTCACGTCCTGGAAGAAGTTGTCAATCACGTCTGGGGGGACCGTCCGTGAATGAAGCAGCGGACGGCTCCAGGAGATCCACAGCGCCAAAATCGCCGTCGGCTCGTTGGATGTGAACGAGGCATGCTTCCTCAGCGAAATTTTTGAAGCTAAACTAGCTGGCCTGGCGCTGAAGGACGCGTGGCGGCCCTCCAGTGTCCACGCAAGCATTGAACAGCGGAGGGAAAGGTCTTTGTTGTTTATCGTTGTTACAGACGAGTTTGTCTTCCGAATATGACCAAGTCAAGACAAAGTAAACAACAACTTCGTTGACTACGCCACCGTCGCCACACATCCTGAACTCTCGAGATGAAATGTCGGACTCCAGTAGACTCTTAGCGCGACGTTATGAAAGCGCTTTCGCTTCAAACCTGCTAAAAATCGAAGTCCGATCTTACACTTTAAAGGCGTTACCAGGTTACTGGGTCACCTACACTCAGTACTCATTCCTTGCCACAATGTCCCTCTTGCCACCTTGCACCTCCCACAATCACAACGCTGTTTTTCTTGGCTTTATGCGTGTTGGAATGCGACACGACAAGGCCACAATTAACTGCAGAAAAGACTCAGAAGGTGGCTTAAACGAACTTAATCCCAATGCTTCTTTGATTCTTCTGGCTTACGAGGAGGACCTGTCTGGACATTCTAGGCATCCTGAACGCTGCGTACGCATGGGCACAACTTTTTTCGTTTCAATTGGGAAGCATATGCTTCAACCTTCTCAAAGCTTCTATCGTCGATACCATTTTCCTTGCAGAGGGCATTTTTCATTGAGCGAATTTTGCCATTGCCACTCACCAACCATGGGGTGGTTCTTTTTATCATAAACTCTATATAAACCCCTCCAACCAAGTCAGCCCCCCCTTTTTCCCGTCGTTTGGCCGTCTCTTTCTTCTTAACTTTCTTTGACGATACGATGCTTTTCCAAAACCCAACGTTCCTTGGCGCCATCGCGTCGACTCTCCTTCTCTCCACCTCCTTTGTCCAAGGCGTCTGCCTGCACAACCACCGCCGTAATCTCCAGGCGGGACCTGGCTCTGTACCCATCAGCAACTTCAGCTACATCGGAGTCACCGGTCCTCTCGGCTGGGCAGGCCTTGACCCCGCAAACGTAAAATGCTCAACGGCCAATGTCCAGTCCCCGATAAACATCGAGCACGGCGTCGTCCCACCCTCGCCGACCAACCCGCAATTAAGTATCCCCGATGTGCTGTCGGCGGAATTTGAGAACCTGGGTTCGACGGTTGAGGTTGTGATTAATGGGACTACGATTTTTGAAGGCAAGACGTATACCCTGAAGCAATATCATTTCCATACACCCGCGGAACACCTTATCGACGGGCAATTTTATCCCATGGAAGTGCATTTCGTCAACATCGCGTCTGGTAAGTCGTTAAACTCAAAACCGTCCGTTCTTCAACTGAAGTTTAGTCCTTCAGACGGTTCCATTCTCGTCCTCGCAGCCCTCTTCGAACTGTCCCCCTTCGGAACCAACGAAAACTTCCTATACCCCCTCCTCGCTCCTCTCTACGCCATCACAAAACCAGGCAGCTCAACCACCACAGGCCCGCTCATCTTCTCCGACATCACGTATTTGTTTAACATTCTTCCCCTATTCAAATATACCGGATCGTTGACGACACCTCCGTGCACTGACGGTGTCATTTTCCTTGTTGCGAATTCTTTCCTACCGATTAGCCTGGAAGCGTTTTTGCAGTTTAAGAATGTGTTGAAGTTTAATGCGAGATATGTGCAGAATGCGCCAGGGGAGGAGAATTTGGTTGAGGTGGCTGCGGGTCAGTTGCCAAAGTAGACTCGGATGTGACGGTGTCGTTGGACTTGGATGTGGACTTTATTTCATTTTGTCTTGTCCCTTTCCGCTCCTTTTATGTACAGTGTCCATATTGCATCACAAATACATGGAACTCCGAGGTCTAAAGTCAAAGGTCTGGTCATCGGTACGTGCATTGCATTGCTACTCGGCGGTTACTTAGAAGTTTTAAACTTTGGGGTAACTCGTGCTGCAGTCTTTTCAACGCCACGTTGATGTACGCCATGTTGGATTTGATCCACGCACTGTGGAGGGGCGTGTGGTACGTTCATCACAATATCGAGTATCTTTTGGTATCAGCTTCTATATCAATCTCAGCCCATAGAAGTATCATGAGAATAAAACCCATGGTTGGGTAAAAATAGTCATGCGCCTGGAACTGCGCAATTCTCAAGTTTTATTTTAAGGCCAAGTCTGGGAATCACAAAAAAAAAAAAAAAGGCCTTCAGTTGATTTCGTTTCAACATCCGCTGCATTTTCTTCCTTGGGTAGTGGATGGAAACTAGAACCGAAGAATGTATTGAGGGACTGCTATAATGCAATATGAGCTGGAGGGATTCTGCGACAGGGTGACGACATGACAGGACAAATTGATTTTACAATACAAACTCAACGAAAGAATGAACCGATAGCAAACACCTTTGAACGAAGCCTAAGAATCCTTGGAAAGTGCTTCTCCATAACAACCATTGCACACAGGTTCATCCCACTTGTCTCCAGCAAAAGCGAGAAGCTTCGCTTTCTTTTCCTTCCCGCAACGACTACACTTGAATCCTGTGGACGTGACGAGACGGTACTGCTGAAACCCACCGCGTGGTGGGTAAGTTTTCTGGACTTCGAATTTCGGGGGTAGATTTTCAGGCATTCTAACAAGTGGGCTAGAAATCGAGAATAGACGCGGAAGTTGAGTGTGGACGATAACTGTTTTAGGAGGTCAGAGTCTTGGAGGGCTTACTGTGGAACTCACGAATAGGTTAGATTAGCCTGGAGTTAGAGGTGGGGGCTGAAGATTGGGATCAATGTCGTTGATCGGATTCAAAAGATAAGTTTGTGCTATATCGTCTTCAATCTCTGAGGCTGTGCGAGGTGTTGAGCGCTGAAGCCAGTACGCACGGACCTGAAGGGAGTTTATTGGTCGACAGGTGGTCAATGCAAGGGGAGAGGAGCTGACTGCCTGTAAAGTCAACGCGTTCCTCTGGTACGTTGTACGACGGGACGAAAGAGTCGCTCATAATGCACATTTCTCGGTACTCATCTGTCTTGGATGCCCCAAGGTGTTGTGAACCACCGATACAGTTCATTTGAGAGAGTACATAGCTTCCGGAGTAGATCTCGGGGCGGGCGTGATGGGCGGATCGCCGATCAGGGAACGTTGTCGGGTGGGACTTTAGGATGACGACCGTTGAGAGCGAAGGTTTGAGCCATAGGGCCGTTGGTTCTTGCGGGGGTTGCAGACGTGGCCCGTCTCCCAGGCGGAGAAGAAGGCGGACGCTTTAATATATTTGAGAGATCAGCCTCGGGTCGGATCTACACGCGCGGGTAACCTTAGGTGAATTGTCGCTGGCGAGAGTCATGACTTTGATCTTGCGTCACGCAAAAGGCGGTCAAACCAAGGGGAGGCAAAGAAGGCCTATTTATATCGGGTTCATAAGAGTACATGTTGCGTAGTGGATACTAAATGATAGCTAAAGAGGAGAAAGAATTAGTCAAACGAAGACAAGGGGAGAGACGAAACGCGAAGAAGAAGGATCAGAGACTTGAATGGTTCCGAAGAATCAAAACCCATTGTGCAAGCACGTCGTGGGATTTGCAAAATGTGTGCATCGTGTAGGTAGGAGTTGGCTGAGATCTAGACTTACCGTAAAGAAATATTTTGCGGCGACGGGGGATGGGCGAGACCTTAGAAGAAACGGATTAATGGGTTGTTCAGGGGAATGGCGACAAAAGAATCAAGGCCAGGCGAAAGAAACGTGTTTTTCCTCAAAATCTCGAGGATGCTTCAAAGTAGAAGGAAAGCACGAATTGTACACATCGGAAAAGCAACTACAATGGGAGATGTTTCACCTTTGACTTGAAAGGATCGAAGAATATTTGTGCGTAACAATCTAAATAACGGGCCGCACACACCAAAAAAACATTTTGCGGAGAACAGGACCTGAAGGAGAAGAAACGGATCAGTGTGTCGTTCAAGAAGTAACAAGGAGAATAAAAATCAGTAAAAAATAACGTGTTCTTCTCATAACCTCGTAGAGGCATCGAAGTGAGCTGAGTTGTACGAATAATTCTCATCCGAAGATACGAGGCGAAAGAGAGTTGCTCACCTTTGATGTGGTTTGTAGCAAGGAGAGAAAGACAGAAAAATTTCTCGACACGTCACGTGGACCTGCCCTAAACTCAGCCACAACTGTACAGCACCACTTTGGCACGTTCCCACACGAACACTTCACCCCAGAACACACGGTGAGCAGCACCATAATCCACAGTGAGCAAGCCCATTTGTCCATCTTCAACCACGTCCTGAGTGCTCTTGCTTCAGATGCAGATTTTCGTCAAGACTCTCACGGGCAAGACGATCACCTTGGAGGTCGAATCGTCCGACACCATCGACAACGTCAAGGCCAAGATCCAAGATAAAGAAGGGTGAGTGTGCCGCTCTAGTGGTGGTGGTGGTGGTGGTGGTGGTGGACTCGACCTGATGACTACTCCTTACTAGCATCCCCCCTGACCAGCAGCGCCTCATCTTCGCTGGCAAGCAGCTCGAAGATGGCCGAACCCTCTCCGACTACAACATTCAAAAAGAGTCAACGCTCCACCTCGTCCTCCGGTAGGCTTCGTTCACTCTTACCCTGTATTGAAATTCTCGCTGAGCGACCATGTTCTCAAGTCTCCGTGGTGGCCTTATCGAGCCCTCGCTGAAGGTGCTCGCGGGAAAGTACAACTGCGACAAGCAAATCTGCCGGAAATGTTACGCCCGCCTTCCCCCGCGCGCAACCAACTGCAGGAAGAGGTCATGTGGTCACTCTTCGCAACTCCGCCCGTACGTCCCCACTTTCCTCTTGTGTGTGGGAGGTGGGATACTGATCTTTTTTTTGTGCGTCTATAGAAAGAAGAAGCTGAAGTAGTGGTGGTGCGTTTTTTGGGTGCGAGTGGGAGGAAGAAGAGGGGGGATACTTAGAGAAGTATGCCGTGCTACGCGTTGATGTACCCATCCCGTTCAACCTGCCCAATGTCGCATCGTCCTTTTTGAAACTATTTGCTCGGTTTTCTCTCTGAGGTGGCTTGACCTCTTATTCCTCCTTCCTAATAATTTCAGGGACAGGTCTTTGGTGAACGTCGGCCAATATGTCTAGCGTCGAGTTCTTGAAGGAGGCGAGCTAGACGTGACAGTCGTAGTGAGTCATCCTTTGGCCATCCTGAACAGTATACGGAGGCAAATCATGCATCCGCCTCCCTTCCCTAGTCGGCAACGTTATCGTGATCAGCATGCCCAATGACAAGAAGGCAAACCAGAGGTAGTACTAATTGAGGTTTAGAGTGAGTATTTTACGTCGAATTCACCCTTAACCAAGTTCTTGAAGCTTGGAGCCTGGACGACGTGAAACTCACAGTGAGCTTACTTGCGTCATCATTAGCCTTTGCCCCAACTTACCTTTACTCCGAGGGAACCACAATGGCTATACCCAACGATCTACCAAGTTATTTTGTCTTGTGGGGTGGCGTTGTCATCCGGCGTCTGAATTGCCTCCAGCAAAAGTTGTCATTGGGCACACTGAGCTGATGTTCCCGGTGAGATTCCTGCGTCATTATCCGCCCACGGCCTTACTCGTCCTCACACGACTACTCCCCAGGTCGACAGATCTCTGGCTACGCTGGGCATCGCGACCAATAACAATATATCGGAACGGACGATTCAATAGCTGGTGTTCAAGGTGGGCATCTTCCGTCCATCGTCCTTGAGCCTTTCATTATACTTACCCTTACCCCAAACAGCCAGAACGAGGCGTGTCTGGTGATTAGGCATCACGTCCGATGACCAGTTCTCGAAGGAGATGGCCCAGGAGCGGGGCGACTTGGAGTTCAGTAAGCTTTCTCGCGTCAACATCTGCGCGAGTATGATTTGAGTCGCCCAGATTCCGGCCGTGACAGTATGCCCAATGACAGCTCTAGAAGGAGGAGACTGAAGGAGGTCGCCCACTTCACGATCACGGTGAGAATTTTTGTGACATCTTTCGCTTTTGATCTCTCTTACCCCGACCCAAGTCGTCCACATTCTCAATAGCACAAGAACGAGATTACAATGTTAGTAGTGAGAGTCTTCCATTATCATCTTCCCATCCTCAAATCCTTCTCCAGGTCAATAGACCTTCGTCACCTTGAACAATGAGCATCATGCACAATGATGACTTTTTTCAATGAGGCGATTCATACAACAAGTGAGCTTATTGAGTATCTTGCGTCATTCTTTTGACTTTATTAACTCCAAGCTCTGGAGAAGGAATCCAGACGTTGACTTTCATATTGATTGCCTTGCGTAATCTTACGGCCGCCCTCGACTTGGTTCACGTCCGCTCCAAATTGACGACCAGCTTTCGCCTACTTTGAGCTATACGCGGCATGCCTAAGGTCTACTTGGTAAAGGAGGCGATTCATGCACTTTAGTGATCATCTTTTGTCATCGTCCGCGCGCCTTCCTTCCCCAAATCGACAGACCTTTGGCTACCTGATCAGTATGCGTGTCCAATTCAAACGCCCGATGAGCTGATGTTCACATTGTGATATCATCATGCCCGGACCTTGCTTACCCTTTACCCAGGCCCTTCCTCAGAACACGTTGCCTAGTATGCCCAATGACGAAGGAGGCGACCCGAAAGCCGGACGAGCGATGTTTACGGTGAGTGTCGCGCATCATGGAACGCGCATTGTATTGACCTTACAATATCGATAGATCGTATATCGTATCGGATCGCAATCATTCGACATCACCAGTCCACGTTGCTTTGGCCGTCTCTGCCTCGTGTCCGTGCGACCTACATGCAGCGTGGATAGGGTCACGTCCCTTCCTCAACGTTATTTTGTCACTACACTTTCCCTTCTACCACTTCAAAACGTGGGGATATGAAGTCGCAAGACCGGAAGCTTGAGTTTGAGCTGGACACCCCTGTAACATTCGATGCCTGCTCTTCAACAAGTTGACAATATGACAGCACAAGCACACAACGCCCACACGACACCCACAACTCAACGTTTCAACTCATACGCCTTGACACCTCCGTACTTACGCCTCAATACTTCAACGCTACACAGGCTTCCCTGATTACATGCGGATACCATCTGTTATGACGAATGGTTTGATTCTCCCGTCTGTCAAGAACTGTCTCTCATGGCGAACGGTTTACTCTGTAGTGACGAACGGTTTATTTCGTTGTCCATCCATCATATTCCGTCGAGCTACGAAGAATCGTTTCTTCCGTCATACCTTGTCGCCGTCCTCGCGGGTTGAGTTTCCCTTGACGGGGTTAATTGGAGTTTCTTTGACGGGATTGGTTGGGATCTTCTTTGACGGGGATGGCCTGTATTCCCGTGAAGTTAATACCGCCGCCGTGACCCGTTAAAATGTTGTTCACGTCAGGATTGAGGGGCTTGGCGGGTGGATTTGTGATGCTATGAAATCGTCGAGGTTGAGGGTGGTTATAGTGGTAGGTGGGTGCATCTATTGAGACTGCAATCAGCTGGTATGTGCCAACAGCAAGCAGAGGCGATTCGGCTTCGGACGATAAAGATGTGTGTATCACCACTGTGGCATATCTGTTTACAGAAATAAATTGATGTCTACTTAGTGGTGGAGCCAGACCGAGATGCCTGTACTCTGCAAGACTCTGCAGCGAGAGTCTCTACCCGTGCTCGACATCCTATCTTGAACCGGTCGTTATCGCTGGTTGTGGCTCGATGTCGGTACCCACCGTTCAACGTAGTTTAACTTTTGAGCTCAAGCAGGCCAGACACTTCAAGATCGTCAGTACAAGCTTGGGTTACGCGTGTCCCCTGAGCTCAGCTAATCCAGCTCGAATTTTTGATGACGTGCCGAATTGGTGCTGAAGCGCTGTAGTGCTACTCTACAGGGTCGTCACTCTTAGTAGGAGATAAACCCCCTTCTGTCCTTCTTTACCCCTTCCTTTTCTTTCGCACAATCATTATACCAGCCCGGGAATACATCCCGATTCTGCAGAGAGGGGGATATAAAGCAATTCGCTAGGTTTATCCTATTAAATAACTCCATGGAAGTGGTCTCAATTTTTTTTCCAGGGATCCCGGCGCGATTTTCAAGGAGTATACTTGATGCGAGATATCTCCAGACCTGGTACCTTGTATTCTTGTCACTGTCCATTTCTTCGAGACGGTACCGTGGCTTATAGGTCAAATCGAAAGCGGTTACGGGGAACGAACATCTGAGACACGTAGATGTATACTGATATCCTTTCGCACCCAACATAATGAGTAGATCAAATGCACAGACCCCGCATAGACTCAGTAAGCTATAGTTGTGTTACATCGGAGCGACTCAGTATTCACGCGCGAATTTCTCATGGAGTCAATCTTCCTCATTCCAGTCTGTCTTATAACGCCAGTTCAGCAGAATGATAATACCAGCCGCGATCTAGTGAGTTTCCCTGCTATCTCCGTTACGCATGTCGACATTAAAATCAATTCAAATTCGATGCCATTCCAAGTTTTGCGGTGTCTGCCCTATACAATATTTCAGAGCTTTCTGTTGCGCTGAGACCGATGGAAAATTGATCCACATTCAGATCAGGCCAGGAATATGCGCACACAAAATTACAATTTTTCTCGCCGTCCGTTACACTACCTGCACTGCAATGCTCATACCATGTTGCAAGCGGCGTGCGTACAGTTTTTAAAACTGACTTTGAGTTGGCGGAGAGATTTCAAGAAGGACCAGACCAGGAAATCGGATGTCGAACAACGAGCCCTCAAGCATGTATATACAACACGACAACACCTCGTGTTTGTTGCTGCAAAAAGTTGTCTTCGCCTTGGGGGTACCACTTATCACCGATATTCCGCCCCACAGTCTCCGATAGTAGTGATAATTCTTCGGCCGTTCGAGTGCGCCAACACGGCTTCGATTTCCTCGTTATCTTCCGCCGTCAAGTTGAACCCAAATGCCATCTGGTTGTCGTCTGAGTGTTCGGAAAGACCGAGCCGCGCACCTGGATTCAGAGGGGAATGATGTAGCTACAACCATCACGAAACAAGGTAAAAAGGGAGGCGAACGGACCGATAATCACAGCGCCAACGAAGGGGTGGTCCAATACCCACCGAGTCGCGATATTCGAAATGCTTCTTCCAGCGTGGCGATCGCCGATGCTACGGAGAACGTGGAGTAATGCTTGAAAGAGTTCCCAGGAGCCCCAAGCCTTGACAATCATGTCGAGGTACTGAAAATGCTATAGTTGCATGTGCGAACAAAATGACGTGTGGTGTAACTTTTACCTTTCTCTGGGAAGGTGTGAGATTACCGGAGTACAGATCAGGTTCAACTGCCTCCAGCCACTTGTCGGCCAAAAATCCCCCACACTAAACAAAGAAGATATATAGTCGGTGAAACTTTTTTCTTTCGAACGACGAACCAAAGTGCCGTAGGTCAATAATTTCAAACCATGCTTCTCGCAAACGTCTGACATTCCATGTAGAGGTCGCGTGTCTATGATTGAGAACTGTGAAAAATCGAATTGTTACCACCGAGCGTGAATTATGTCACGCAGAACTCACCTGTACTTGATTCGAGACGATAGCATCGTGTCCTAGGACGGTACAGATTTCGTCTGTTCTGATCGTATCAAAGTTACAGAGACCGATTGCGGAGATCAATCCTTCTTCTTTTAGATCACAAAGATGATTCAATGCGGTTAAGTACCCCTTATCGGAGTAGTCTTGCCAGTGAAACTGATTTGTCCGTGAGTGACTTCTAGCAAGTAAAGATATGAATTTACCTGGAGCAAGTCAACACGCTCTGTCCTCATGCGTTCCATACGCTCGTGAACGGCAGCGAGCACAGCTGAACGTGAAGGATTTATCCGCTTGAACACACACCACTTTGTGGCGCCGAGTACTTTCTCCGACGAGGGCAGGGATTCCTGGAATTGACCCTGAGAGGTATTTCATCGTCGGTCCACAAAATGTCCACGAAAAGGTAAAAACGCACAAAAATTATCTCTGCGCTCCCATAATGGTCAGCTGTATCTCCCCAGTCAGAAAAAGGGGGAGTATAGAAGACTGTGCAGGCTTACCCTGTCAATGAAGTAGTAAATACATGGTCAGTCGTAGGTTGAACGAGTCGAACTCATGGCGTACCATGTCTGTTTGATCGATCAGCAATGACGACTCTCGGGTCAGTTGGGGAGGATCTCACCAAATGCTGTATAACCCATCTCAACATGTCGCGCCATTCCTCGCCGAACTTTGGCAACAGAGGCACTTCCCCATGCATTGCTGGAGAGCTGCCAGAGCCCAGTCCAGACGCGAGGCACGACAAAGGGACCTAGACGAAAGGACTCCCGATTGACTGTCATGTTTGAGTAGCGCGCAATAGAAAAGGTGACAGGGCTCAGACACGCGAAAGGAGGTTGCCGTTTTATATCATGTAGGTTGGAGGATCCGGTGAATATTTATGCAACCGAAGAAGAGGCCGGAATGTAGTCAAGAGAACTGGGCCAGGTCAGTCGACTTGAAACCACGTGTCGGACGTAACGGGCGATAGCAAATAATCATCGGAACAAACTCAGCATCAGATCAGTTTGGGCTCTCGGAGGCTCTCCTCCTGCCCCTGACACAACTTTGTGGAATCGGTTCGAATCAAGGATGCTATAAAAGCGGAAAGAAGTCGCAATGAACCTCCAACCTCTTCGATAAATTCGTTCTGTCCAACGCCGACTATATTCGCACCATGCCAGCGCTTGAAGTACTGCCTCGCGCCATCGACTCCCGTCCAGCTCTGGGACATGTGTACGCGTCTAGTGACTACCTGTCTTTCCCCCAACACGGTTACTAACATATACGGCAGGAACCTGATGGTCGACACTTTCATCGCTAATGCGACGATTGACGAGCAAGTCATTGATCTCCTTCAGCGCAGTGCTTATCCCTTACCGTTCTTCAGTTTGAGATCCATTACACGGGACTTGATCGCAACAGGACCGCCTGGTATTGCCCCAGCTTTTACAAAAGCCGCTCGTTCTCGATTGCGGCAGATCAATGTCAAATCCTTTGCAAATCCACATGCACTCTTTCGTCGACAAACACACGCATCACCAGCCACACCAACTCAGCACCTATGCGATACATTGAACAGGATCCGCTCCCTGTACGGAGCAGGAATGGGATTTTCAAGCCTTGTACTTTTGTCTTCGGTAGTGCGAGCCACGCTGGGCCTTCGGTGGGAAGACGATGGGGATATGGCGGATATGTTGGCGGTCATTGATATTGACATTGGGCAGGCAATTCAGGCAAGAAACATTCTGTTCTTTCACGCAACATCCGGACTTATTTAATTGCTTCCTAGAGTTCGAAAGAAGAGATAGAAGGAGGTCGGGTCAAAGATTTCGCGTTTGCACGTGAAGCAGTTCAGAACTTGCGGTGTGCGGTTAATGATAGCTTGGCCGATGTTAATGCTTGGGGAGGGGAATTCCCATTCGAGCGGGCAGCAGCGAGTATACATTATTGGAAGATATGATTCGTCCTTTCTTACCTCGCATTAGAATAGATATATATAAATTACTAGTCATTACACACAATACTTATCTTCTCCCCGCGGTGATTTCGTTCTTTGTAGGAGGAAGCAGCGTAACGCATTTCAATCATGAAAAGACACCGAGGAAACGCCACGAGGACGTTCAAGACTCATGTAAACATGCGACCTTCGAGTTGGAAACGCGGCCCCCTCAGATCGGCCCATATAAACAGTGCGGGTAGATACGACTCACCTGATAAAATTCTATACCAGACCGCCCCGACTCGCCGAGTTCTCAATCACTGATACTGGAACCGCGATGAGCTGAGAGGTGCTGGAACTAAAGCAACGTTGCAACCAGAGCCGTAAATGTTCCGCTTCTTCAAAGGTGATCAATCTTTGGGGATTTTTATAAATGCCGCGTAATCATGTTCCTTCAATGACGTCTGATGGTGACACGAATTTCAGGTGCTTCTGGTGAGCAAAAATTGTGATAAGTACCCCATCTCGCGATCGTCAACCTAATACACAGCGGCGCAACGACGCCGACGCGCTCAGGGAAAAAGCCTCTCATGGGCTCTGCTGCGCCGCTTGCAATTGAACTTGATTTTCAGGATATCCGTCTCATTCATTGGATAACATCTGTATTTTTGCTTCAACTCAACTGCACAAGACTAAATAGCCCTTCAGATTCGTGATGGCAGCGAGGATTTCTTCGCACCCTAATTTCTCGATTCTTTGCCCTTGGACGAAGGCAAATGAGGAAAGTATTCGCCAAAATGAAGCAAGAGCTATATGCATCCAGTTCTTAGCACTCAGCGTTCAACGTTCAGCGCTCAGCGCTCAGCAATGATGTCATCCCCATTCTTGGTCGGTAACTTAACAGCGCCAGGACCCTAAATTGTGCGCTCTTAAGATGGCCTACGATTGTTATATTTAGAAAGCGTCCATCCCGTTGATGTCGATCGGAAGTGTACGAAATGAATGAAGTAAATGAATGAAGCGTTGTCAGAGGTATGCTCTTCGAACCAGAAACTCTTCCCTTTCTGAACCAGTTCGAATCTTCTGTTGACGTACGTCTTTGCAGAAATCACATCCCTAAAGTTAGCGTTCTATGAAGGTGTTGTTCGCTGGAATTTTTTTGGTTTATTGCTGTTAACGTCATCGTCGCCCTTGTTTTGTATGAACTTGAAGGTGTTTAAATTGATGATGTTGATTTATCGATTATGTGCAATAATTTGCGTCTTTATCTCTGCTGTTCGATACAGCCCTGTTTACCGTTTAAGTGGTTAGTTAGTTCGACCACAAGCAGATCTAAAAAGCACTGGATGCCAGAATGATCATGATTAGCAGTCTTTTTAGGCCGGTATGGCCTGCCGCCAAGTTGGTAGCCTACTCGGGTTGTATTAACATAACCGACACACCCAAGCTCAATCACCCTCCTCTTCTGAATGTGATTTTGAGGTAACGTGAGCCTTTCACAACACGCCGTCACAAACGTATTCAACGTAAAGCCCCCTAAAGCCCAATCAATGCCCACGACAGGTGACTCCGAAATCAAATAGTCCCTCGAACTGCTCTGTATGCGTAGAAGAACATAACTAAAATGACAGAACTCCGTTTCGACATTGTGATCCGGCCGAATTTGAAAGGTGAATCACTAACCAAGAAGAGAGGCTGGCGCTCACCAGCACCTGTACAGATGTCATCCAGTCTCCCACGTTCATACAAAAGCTCCTCGTGATTTTATAGATTCCACCGGCGCTGGTACTTGATCAGGGGCGAGCAAGGAAGCAGGGAAACGGGGGTGCAACGAAAAGTAGTTGTGCTGCATATACTGGTGGTTGATCGGCGTATGCAAGCTGTATCGAAAAATCGGCCAGTGGAAGTGAACGGCGATATGGAGCGGAATACCCGCCGATGCATGTGGAGATAACCCAAGATAACGTGATTGGGTTGCTGCATGCGTTGAAGAAAGGTGGTGCGGTCTTCAGCCGAATCAATCCCTTCAAACTTTACTGTTTCGGTGGAGATCCCACAAAAATGGTGGACGAAGTGGGCAGCCCTTTCTCGACATAAATCGAAACGTGGAATCCAAAAGGTTCGGAGGTTACAGTGGTCAAATGGACTTGCATCCACTCCATTTATGCGACTAGAAGCCCAGCTAAGCAGCGGGCGCTGAGCGAGTAAATTTGCATAAGCTGAATTTGACGCACAGAGCACAAAACGTTGCGCGCAAATCGTAACCAACTGCGTGAGTAAGCGAGCGCAACTTCATGTTGGCTGAGTGAACGCACCGGCAATGTTGAGAGAAAGACGAGTGTATTGGGCAAATTCTGGAGCCGTCATGGCAAATGGTCCTGGTGGGAAGAAGATCAACAATGTACTCGAGGAGAGGCTAAAATTGTGAGGAGGGCCCTCCTCCATTGGCAAGGACGTTGGCGAAAGTTCCCTGAAGGCTCGAAGACGAGATTGGCAGAATGCTACGAAAATGCCAGGAGTACTTTCGTTCCATGAACGATCGCGTGTAAGTTCAAATCACCTCTAGCTAGGGCGAACCACTCAACAAAGCACACTGGCCTTCCCGCTATCCATGGATCCGGCGCTCATCCTTGCTCCAAAGTCTTACTTCCTCCCCGCTTACCCCAATCTTTATGCTTTATGCCTGACTCAACTCACTGCACTTCTGTTCCCCCAATATTTCTGATTCAAAGGCGATCATCCTCACCTAAGATCTTGATACCCATCCAACAATTGACGCAACGCTTCTCGCTGGAGATTCAAAGGCGTAGAAGATATCCTAAAAACCGGCATCAACATACAATATCTGGACTCCTAAATCAACCCCAAGCCATTGGTTGATCCTTCGGTGCAACAAGCTACTGTTACTCACTTTGGCATACTCTGGCAGTCGTCTCCCTCTCTTCAACACAAATGTACTGCTTCCCCTCTCCTACATGACTGCGCGCCTTGTAATGAATGTTCGTACCAACGTTGTCGGGTCTTTCAAATGAAGAATGAACCATTCCGAAGCTACGCGATATATATGTCATCTGAGTGATCAGCGATTGCGTGAGGGGGACCTGATGTGTTGTGATCCTCGGCGAACGAAGGGTTCTGTTAGGGTCCACCCTGAAGTTTTTCTTGACCAGACACATCTGTAGCCAAACACGAGTACATAGACTTCGGAGTCCCTCACCTTTCTCACCCCTCCTGCTCCTTCTCCCTCGACGCATCCTCATCAGCCTCCCTTGTCAGCGGCCTGATAATCTTGACAGGCGGAGACTGCGGGAACACCTGTTGCGACTCCCCATCCGACGCGTGTAGAGGAAGAGATAGATGGTTCAAGAATTTCTTTATGGATGCCACAATGGGGCCAGAAACGAACAAGGTGGGATTCTCGACGACGAGATTGGGAGAATGTTCATTAGCGGAGAGGATGGAGGATGTGGAGAAGCGTCGTCAGAAGCGGGAAGAAGCTTGAAATGAGGAGGAGACGCAGTATGCGTGGATCCATGGATTTAGCGGAGAACGGCTTACTAGGGCACGTATGGGGGGTCAGTTAGATCATCAATTTCGACTCTCGAGGGAGGCGCATCGGACCTGGTGGGGTGATTGTAAGGATAAGGTTGAGGATCGTTCTTCTCATCTTGAGCACGACTGACTTGCGTACTTTGCGATGCACTGCAGCAGGATTTGGTCTCTATCAATCTATTCTATCTCTCCCTCTTACAACGTTCACTAACGATCTACGGACAGCGTCTTATGGCCAATTTGAATCGGCCGCCCTGCGCTCCACTATGCAAGCCTCTCTCATGCATTACACTTGGGGTGCAATGGTCCTGTGCAAATTGCAGGTAAGCGGCAGTTGCTGTTCTCTTCCATGCTCCGAGACCCTCACTGTCGTAAAATCAGGGGACATACTGTGTATTCGGATTTTTTGGGATTGATGGCTTCAGGTGAGTGAAGGCGCGTCGGAATAAATTATGTACACGCCGCATTCTGATGAAATTAGGCAAATCAGGCGCTCCAAACATCCCGCATTCTCATCCTGACTTGTGCTGACGCCTCATGAATTTCCAGGACCCGTGACCCTTTCCTACAGTCAAACTTCCCATCCCTGAAGCGGATAAATTTAGATTTTTGTAGGGGAGAACGGGAGTACCTTTAAACTATGACGACAAATATTAATGTAGGGTAATATTGATTGGCGGGGAAACTCACCACGACGTCGGGCTTGAAAACCCCATTCATGCCCTTCTTTCTTATATGTGTAATTTTGACTTCGATGTCATAGGCGGGGCCATTCAGCTTCTTAACTTCAAAAGTACCAATGTCACCCTCGGAGAACTGGTCGGTGAAATCAAAAGCGATGATTCCGTCGGCCGTGGGTGAGTGTTCCATAAGTTGGTGGAATTTCAATTACGAGGAATGTCAAACCGAAGTACACTCACCATTCCTCAAGGATGTAGTATACGTTCCAAAAAACGTGAGCGTAGCAATGGGAGGGCCACATCGAGGACGAAAACCCCCGCTGCGCGCCAAAGCCACGAAAAGGTGGCTGCCCTCAGATTCTGCGATTGCCGACTCGCCAACGATTGTAGTAAAATGGCTATCGTCCATGGTATGAGTTGGTTTTAGGATGAGATTCGGGGTGCTCCAGGATTCGCCACGATGTCGGATGCTTAAAGGTGATGCTAAGAGCGCTGAGAAACGGTCAGCATCTCAACCGGCTTTCGTACCATCCTGACCGGAATGTAACAATTATTACGGCAGTGAAAGACCCCATGACGAATGTAAGACGCCCGCACGGCAGTCCGCTGCTCACCTTAAGCAATCGACTCTCTATCTGAGAGCATCACGTTGTCCTTCCTATGACACAAACGCATCACGATGACAGGACAGGCGTTTAGCGTGATCCAAAGTCTCAAAGGCCATGTTTTCTTTATCTTTGCAACCTTTGTCAGCGTCCGGTCCAAGATATTTTTGAACGTCAAAAACATCAGGAATATATTGGACGCTAATTGCGCCAGACCTTGGGCTAGATATTTTGAGATCACCGGCATCGGTTACGCGTTACCAGTGACCGTTTGACCAGTGCACCGCGTGCACTCCGGGTTGTTTACACGTTCCTACTACCAGAGATGTACTACACGGCAGAGAGCTCTGAAGCTGTGGGACCCTTTGAAAGAACTTCAAGGGCTATTAAACTTTAAACTCTTTGAATTCCTAATCGGTAGGATCAGCGGAAGGCGAGGAAGGTCTGCTGAAACCAAATCAACATGAGACGACTTCCAAAAAAGCCTCTAGTTCCCTTACCAGAGCAAGGAGGGTTGATTTGAGTGTGCGAGCTTACGACGGGAAACCCGTGCCGGTATGCGTGGCTCTGGAGAGAAACAATGAATCTGCTTCCCCACTTGTCAATGAGAAGATACTACCTCCGAGCAAGAATGAGATCTCCATAGAATGTTCATTTCTGCGGTTCTGTTGAGAAGATGTAGCCATCCGCTTCGGAAAGATGAGCCACCTTGCAGCCAGATGAATGACAAGATGGTCGGGAGAAGGAAGATTAAGTGTCTCTTCGGGACCGGTGATTGTTGTGATATGTAGAAAATTGTGGTGGGAACCCTCGGGCGAGAAGTGGGAGTTGATCCTTACGGTTAATGTAAGCGAGATAGCGATATGACAATTTTACCGTCTCTTCGACCCAAAGCAGAAGCGTACCAAAAAAAATGAAATAGAGTTCTCTCGGCACAGGACCGTCCAGTTGATGACTGATTTATTTGAAGCCGAATCGCTGAATGGCCGCCTATATAAAAATGTCTTAGTGCTTTGATTGAGAGATGAAGAAAAATTGCACGTAGCGTACCCGTTCGCTATCAGATGAAATGACTTTCGGAAAATGTGAGAGCGGACGGCGAACAGCTTTCCATCTCGTCTTCATTTGTCTGCGTCTCTGCATTCTGTGAATTGTATCCTTATGAGACCTTAAGACAACGGAAGCCGTTTCGAATCAAGGCCTTTCGGCATCCGTCAATTACGTTACACCAACCAAGGAATGTACTGACATTAAATTTCGCCTCGGGACAGTTTGGGAAGGGTGCACCCCAGGTGAGCAATCAATTTCTGTCTGATATTGAAAGATGGACGAGCGGCGGGCGTGTGTGTGTCGTTATCGGGCCTCCTAGTTGCAAATGACTTTTCAATACCGTGTGTACGAGTTTATAAATAAAAAAATGAGATTCAAAACTCCTCGTATGCATGAACTTCATCATTCGGAGAGCTTTTTCAGCTGGTAAGCGCCGTGCAGGCTGTCAGATTCAACAAAGTCGCGGGGGCTTGGGAGTGGAGGAAGCTTGCTCACGTCTCGAGTGGAGTTGCGCTGGATCTAGGGCTCTTGTTGATTCAGTCTCGTCCGTTGATCTAAATAGAAGTCTTACGCCTTCAGGCCATACAGTATACACAGTATGGCAAGATCTATAGGAGCACGGCTGTCATTGAGATAAACGGAGGTACCTCTGGGCTTGAAATCGACATGGTGCACGGGCATGAACAAAAACTTGAAAGGCGACTTCGAAATCCCCAACAGTTTTATTGCCCTAGATCCCTCTGTTAGAGTAAGTTCAAATTTCGAAGTTTTCTTTTTAGGAGGAGGGAGTGATGGTATGAGAACCTCGTACAAGCACTTCGTCAAAATTGCGTCAAAATTACTCAGTGCAAGGTTGACACTGACACAAAGCATAGGTCAGAACCAGGTGCTATGGTAAGTCAGCTTCGCAATAAATGGGTCTTGAGAATCGTCAGAAGTTGCGGCACTGAAGTGGCCTTTCAAAGAATGTTCCCAGTAAAAATTAAGTATTGTCGTTGGTGGGTTGGTTGTGAGAGGCGTGGCTGTTTCAAAAAGTTCAAGGTCCGAATGGATTCAGAAGTCCGCTGTCACGTGTTGCGTTGTCACACTTCGCCGCCTATCATCGTCTTCAACAACGACCACACCCTCGAGCTGAACGTCCATCACGGTGAGCACCTAATTCCTTCCATTTCCAGAGGTTTTTCAAATTCAATTTTTCTACAGACTGTGTTTGCATCCTCGCTCTGTTGGGTATTCTGGTGAGCACCAACGGGTGCTTGTGATAACTTCAAGCAATCCTTAGCTTGTGGCAGCTTCCTCTACGCGGGTTGAAGACTTTGGAAAGTAGGCAGAACTGCCAGCGCGCTACGCAGCACGTCTATCTTTCTGCGAGACTCATACGCAGATCCGTTCTGTCATTGATAGTCCTCGGGTCACTCGTTGGTTATTGCATTGGCGCTCAACGTCCAACACTATTGGGAGGAACGTAATTACGCCCGATCCGATTCCAGCTAGCACTAAACCCGCCCAGCTACACTCTTTAAACGTACACACTCCTTTATATGGCTCAACCACCTCAACTCCACCGCCGGAAATCGAGCAGAGACGAAGAAGAGAATGTTGTTATTGTGCCGCACAATGGCATCGAAACCCCCGCTATCATGGCTCCACCACCACCTCGCAACCGCGTTCATTCCACACCACACGACATTCCACCCTCTTTAGGCCAATTCCGCATGCCCCCAAGACTTCCTATGAATGGGACTGCCTCCCCGCTCCGCTCCTCTTTCTCCATGACCAATCCTCCACCCCACTTGAACGGCTCCCACGCCCGCACACGCTCCATCTCAACCCCATTCTCCCGCCCTCTTGCCTCTCCATTACTCACTTCCTTTCCAAGCACACCGATTCTCTCTTCCCCAACATCCCCGCGCCCTTCAATCATGATTACTTCGCATTCAGCACCAGATACCTCCGCGGACACCGCTGCGAAACACTCCCGTCGGCACTCCCGAATGCACTCACGCAATCTGTCTGTTTTCTTCCCGCGCCCAGGTTCCTTGCCAGCAAGTTCAATCTCTGAGGACGGGGGACAAGAGCTGGAAATCCACCACAGCGGCCCAATAGACGAAGAAGCTCCAGCCATCATCATGCCCTCCGCCAGCCCGCCCACTCCCCTAGGAAAGGGATTCACATTCGGCGCACGACCCCCCAACTCAGCTCTCCCGTCTCCCATGTCTAAAACCCCCGGCTCTGGGTCGTCATCGGCTTCAAGGAGAGGCCATCACCACAAACACTCCCTGTCACATAACTTTTTCTCCTTTCTCGAACCGGGAGGCGAGAACCTCCATACAGAGCCGGCTCCTATTCCAGTATCGCCTTGGACGCCCATGCCGGACTCTGCTGGTACGAGTTCGAGTTCCCCTTCTCCTACGGAACAGTCGCGACAGGTCCCCGTGCAGGACGATAGGATACCGGTTGGTGCTGCTGCCGCCAGTATTGCACAGTTCGTCCTTGGCGCGTATCTCTGGGTGTGTGGGCAGCAGATTGGCTCGTTGTCTTGCACGGGCCTTGGGTACTGGGTCGTGTTTGACTCTTTTGGGGTGGCGTTCAGTGAGGTGGTGCCTCCGTGGTTGGCGTCTGGTTATAATGGGGTAAGAGACCGGCTGAGGAGGCCTTATGGGTGCGTTTTCTTATTTGTTAGGTTGTGCGTCGGCTTATGGTTCCATGTTTAGCAACGGTCGATTGGAAACCGTGCTCATGTTCGCACACGTTGTGTATCTCATGTTCTCTTCGGTGTACGTGTGCAAGGAGACTGTTGAGCACTTGCTGTTGAGCGCTGGAGGTGTGCAGGGACATCATCATCATCATGGTGACGAAGAGGCTGTCAGTGGACTTGGGTTCGTCTTTGTCCTTTTCTTGGTGGTGATCTCCCTATACTGACTGATCTCGTCTGAAGTATCGATTTCCCAGTTTTTGCCACCTTGATAACTTTCCTCTCCCTCGTCGCAACAGCCTTGATATTCAACAACCACACGAAACTAGTTAACGGTGTGCCCCATCTCAACGCTCATGTTGGTCGCTCTGACGCACATTATTGAAATCATAGTAACGGGCAACCGTATTCCATCGCTCCCCGCCATCGTCCGCTTAATCTCATCCTTTTCCAAGCACACACGCCACGAACCACCACCAACGACGCCGCTAACCCTAATGCTCTCAAACCCCTATGTCACATGTCCCCTGGCTTTCTGCGCCTCCATCTTTTTCATAGGGCTCTTATTGCCCCCGTAAGATGCTCTCCACCTCCCTCCAATGTGCCAGCTTACCGACTGTCATCTCTAGCACACAACACCGCATCGCTGACCTAGTGTTAGCACTCATCATCGCCATGCTTACATTTAAAGTAGCATACCGCGCGTCGGTTGTGCTAGGTACAGTCCTACTACAGACCTCTCCACCTCGCGGAATGGCGAGCGGGAAAATGGAGGCGTTCCTTCGAGCTATGCGTGAGGTATGTGTCTGCCCATCACCTCATCCCACTCCCCAATGATTGGCTAATCCAATGTGTACTGCACAGGTCGAAAGGCACCCTCAAGTCCTCCACCTCCCCGCACCGCATATCTGGCAACTGACTCCGAGCCCTCAAGACTTCGTACCGGGGAAAGGAAGGGGGGAGGGGGAGGCGTTGGTGGTTACGTTGGAGCTTCATGTGACGGGGAATTTGGGCGATGATGATGTGTTGAAGTTGACCAAGTGGGCTCGGGAGAGGTGTGTGGGCGCTTTGGGGAGGGAGGAGGCTGAGGTTACGGTTGGCATTGTGCGTGGATGATGCGTGGGACCGCGATGGGAAGTATCTGTGGTGTTGGTGTTAGGATTCGTTGGTTGTGGTTTTTATGTTTTAAGTTGCTTTCTCGTTTGCGTTCGTCCCATGACTAATAGATATTTTGGGCTTTGTCCGTATTCTTCGAGTTGGATTGCACGGAGGAGGGGTACGTGCACCTAACCAGACCAAACCCTGCACCTCGTTGATTCAACTCGGGATCAGATCTACATCCTGTTGACTGCCTTTCACAATCACAGATGCATAACTACACTCAAAATTACGCTACCAAGGCCTTGTATTGCTGCAAATACCCTTGAACCGATTCAAAAGTTCAAAACACAACTTGACAAGCCGCGCGTGGTAAACCCATTCACCCAGCAAGAACATCATCAATCGTCCGAGGCTCACGCGCTCACGTACTACCTCCTTATTCCCTTGCCCGCTTTACTTTGGCATTAGTGCTCAGTACTGAGTAAGTCTCTCGCCATCCAGTGATCCGACAACCTTTCATCGGCCCCTGTTTCCTGCTGGCCCCTGACTTTAAGACAAGAGACGTTGTTGCCATGTGGAGCTCCGCGGAGGTATCAAGAAGTATCAACGCGGCCCGTGGTTTCCTGGCACATCGACAAAAATAAAGGGGACACCTGGACACACAGTTATCGATATCACTTCGCTGAGCAGGCTCTACCTTCGGTTGATGTTTACAGCAACGAGACACCTCTTCACGCTCGGCAGGATGCCACCCTTGAAATCAATACCATCTTTCCAACTTATCACAATTGAAGTCTAAAGGTGAGTGAGGCATGCTTTGTGATCAATTTGTAATTGACGGCCATGTTGTCGCAGTCAGTACAGCTGGGCATTTCATTACTGACTTCTACACCTTGACTATCCACCGCTCCCATCGTACAGTGCGATGGGGTGCGACAAAAGGCTCGTACAAAGACCTTCGAGCCCAGAGTGCTGCGCCGTTCAACCTCTCCACTTATCTATCCCTGCTCCTGCGCCAGGTATCTCCTGAGCTCGAGCTCGTCATGCCTTCCGAGCCCATCGAAGCAGAGTTTATCAGTCCCCCAGCGCTCACTAATGCTCAGGAAGATGAATACCGCGTACTGGACAGGGAAGGTCCTCTTTCGCGTCACTCGACACACACCCAGACCTTTGTCGGCTCTGGCACACCTGGAAGCCCTGAAGTTACCGTCAAGGAGCTCGAAGCGGATCGAACTCGTGAGGGATACCACATCGTGAGTTTCGAGAAAAGTGCAGGAGAGGATCCGCGGGAATGGAGTCTCTCCCGGAAATGGTATGTTGACCTTTTCTTGAAGCGACCACTGAAATATACTTCCTGAAGGTTCGTAACCATGGCCACTTCATTCCTTTGTCTTGCGGTGGCGATGGGGAGCTCCATCATTACCGGAGAGTTCGTCCTTCTCATCTTTAGGCTCCGCTGTATCTGACTAGATGTATTTAAGCATGGTGGGCCCCAGCCTGACTCTCCACATTCAACAGGAGATCACAATGTTGACCGTGACATGTTTCGTCATGGGATTCGGCTTCGGGTTAGGATCCTCTCATTCTCAACATATTCATCTTGACTTACCCTCTTGTCCTAGACCCCTAATCTTCGCACCTCTATCGGAGTTGTTCGGTCGCAAACCAATATACTGCGTCAGCATCTTCCTCTACTTCATCTTCACCCTTCCCAGTGCCCTAGCAAAGAACGGCGCAACTCTCATCATCGGAAGGATGCTCGCCGGCTTGGCCGCCTCTGCTCCGATGTGCAACGTAGGCGGTACTATCGCTGACGTGTGGTCTATCGAGCAGCGCGGGGCTCCCATGGCAATCTTCTCCACTACCATTTTGTACGTTCGCGATTCGCTCAGCGTCTTCCGCCGACTCACCCACATGGCACATATAGCCTTGGTCCCTGCGTCGGTCCTTTGGTGGGTGGTTGGATCGGCATGCGTGCGGGTTGGAGATGGATCTACTGGGTCCTCTTCATCTTCGTCGGCGTATGTTTTATATTCACACTCATCATGCCCGAAACTCTCGCTCCGGTCCTTCTGCGCAAGAAAGCAGAGAAACTACGCAAAGCAACAGGCGACGACAAGTACCGTACTCTCGAGGAACTCGAGAAAAAGCCCCTCTACGAGTCCATCAAAATTGCGCTGGTTCGTCCCTTGGTCATGATGTTTACGGAACCTATCATCATCTTCATGTCGTTCTGTGAGCTCTATTATCCGTCTTCAATGACGAGAAAGACTCACCCTCCTTCCATAGATCTTGCCTTCGTGTATTGCCTCCTCTATCTGCTCTTTTTCGCCTTCCCAATCGCCTTCACTGAAATTCGCGGCTGGAACGCGGGTATGACTGGCGTTTCGTTCGTCAGCATCATGCTGGGTTCCTTCCTCGCAATCATAATCATACCCCTCCAAGAAAAGATATACAAGAGGGCAACTAAGAACGGCGATTTTCCCGAGGCGCGCTTATACCTGATGATGATTGCTGCATTGTATGTTTGTCTCCCCATCCTTATACCTTTATTACGGCCTACTAACACCTCCCTGCTTTTCCGCGCTCAGCGTCTTGCCATTTGGACTCTTCATCTTCGCTTTCACCGGCGCCTACGCTAACGTCCACTGGATCGCTCCCCTTATATCCGGCGTTATCTTCGGGTTCGCCATGATCCTATTATACATCTCAGCAAACTCCTACATCATCGACTCTTACTCGTCCTACGCCGCCTCGGCTATTGCAGCGAAGACCTTGCTTCGCTCAGAGGCTGGCGCTATGGTCCCTCTCTTTGCGGAACAGATGTTTCATAAGATGGGGTTTCAGTATGCTGGATTGCTCCTCGCGTTGTTCTCCTGCGTCATTGGCCCTATTCCGTTTGTATTTTTCTTTTATGGTCATAAAATCCGTGCGCGGTCGAAGAAGGCTTCCCAGAAGCAAAGGATACCCGATTCGCACATTATTCAGGCTGAAAAGGGAGGAGAGTGAGTTGGATGGATTTCTGGTTATTTTGTTCTACAATTCATCGGTCCCCTTCCTTATTTAAACCTTTGCTGATACTTTCGCGTCTTTCGTATATATATACCTTTCCGGCCATCTTGTCTAGGACAGCACTATAATTCTTTTTTCGGGGAATATTGGTGTTGGGTGGCGAATCAAATCCATTCTTAAACCCGCCCTTTGGCGTGAAGAGCACAGGCAGCTCAACGTCCATCCAGTTAATACTGCATAAGGCTCTCCATTATCTATTACACGCTTTTCAACGAGTCATCCAATAGAACAGAAATCGGAAGAGCATCCCCGGTTCAAAATGACCGAAATAATTTGGAGTCCAAGTTCGACAAATTTTTAGCTGTACATCAGATATGCTCACGCTAACTGGGTAAATAAACTCGAATGTACACACCTCAAGTGCCGACACTTTCCCTCCGGGTTAGTCTCCACCCATGTACGGTGGACCTAACAGCTTCCTCACCCGAATCTTCTGGGAACATTGGCTAACAACATATTAGGACATGCGCACAAGCGGTGGAAAAACTGCACACCGGAAACGTCTCGCTCAATATCTCTTCAGACCGCCATCCCCGCTCCCTGGCCTTGGTGAAGAAGTTCATGTCACGATGAGCTAAATGCGGTCGATGGTGCGTATAGAATACCAGCACCGACGGGTGTGAGCTGGCCGAGTCAGACGACAATGCCTCTTCGCACGTTTTCAGCAAGGCTTCATGCTGTGTGAGTCGTAAGCGCAGGCACTTCCATTGGGAATTGAGTCATACGTGCCTGAGAATGGTTGAAAATGAGATCTGACAGTATGATGAGGTCAAACTTGCTCGATGGCGTTGGGAGGGCGTCCAGAAGTGGTTTGACGGGGTGGCCCCATATGTATCCCTATCCATCGAGGTCAAAACGAAGGAGGGCCGCCATCATCAATGTGGGCACCTGGACGTTCAACCGATCCCGCTGATGCTCCGGTACGTTCGTTTTCACGTTATATTCCATGTTTTCCACAAGTTCCCGGTCAGGGTAATCGGTCACGACTACCTAGATTACGGTCAGCCGTCGGTGTGAAACAAAGCCGGAGTGTACAGACCTTCCCAGCACCATTCGTGGCCGTTACAATGCTCGGTAATGCTCCTCCAGCGCCAAGCTCAAGCACCAATCGTCCTCGACAGAGGTGCTTATGCGTGTCGAGATACGTCGCAAACGCCCGGGCAGCGTTCCACCTGATGAAGTATTCGCCCATGATCGATAAGACAAAAACAAGAGAAGCAGCGTACAAATAATGTCCCCACAGCGGATGCGCGCCAACAAGCCTAACGTTGATCTCCCGCCACGCATCGTCTCCAACACCGACGTTCTCTTCAGGTCGTGTATAAGTTGAGATTGTCGGCTCTGGCGTAGGGGGCCTGAGTGGTTCCTTCTCAGATCAGAGTAGGAGATAGTGAATGTTGAGAGTAACTGACTGTGAACACAGTGTCTAGAGAGAGGTCGCTGACATCGTCCATGATAGGAGGCGATGATGAGAAAAGAAAAGATCGCTTGGTTCTGCGGGCGTTGCCAAATAATCACCGCAAAACGCGCGGCTCTCAATTTTGCAACAATTTTGATGCGATTACTTACTTACCAACATCATTTCTTTATCCCTTGCACTTGAGACAGGGCCCAATAAATATTCAGGACAAATCAGGACATATGTACCTCCTTAATCGTAGCCACTTGTAAAATAATGAAGTGAATGTGCATCCCGAAAACATTAATTCTCAAAATTACAAAAGGAAGAACAATAAGAACATCAACCACATTTAATTTGCATATTTAAACAATTTCTTTGTGAAATAGTCTTGGTAGCCATGGCAACACCACTCAGCTGAAGAATATGTGAAAGAATAAAATAATGAAATTGGCCAGTCAAGATGGCTGATGTTCTTATTGTTCACCAGTTTGAGATTTTGTTAATCAATGTTTGTAGGATGCACAACAGGTTTATTATTCTACAAGTGTTGACAATTATGGAGGTACCTTTGCGTAGATCACACATTGGACACTGTCTCAAGTGTTGTTGGTCAGAAGTAGTCTCTCGTAGACAGACTTCGATATATGTGAAGTCGTACCTTGGTTCACGATATATGAAGTCTGTTTGTTACCACGCCCCCAAAACCGAGAAAATGTTTATGTAATCTTCGGACTTTGAAACCGCGTCGCGTCAATATTGCCTGGACTCTCGACGCGTTTTTTGTCGCACAACTTGTTCTAATGCCCCAAATTCAACTGTAATCTCTTCCAGCTATTATTTACCATGGATAACAATGCTCGAACTGTCCGGTCTTACAAGAGGAACTCTGTAATTCAAGTCCCAGCAACACCTTACATTTCGCCATTCCTATCACAAGCTACACCCAGTTCCACAAGTCCTGGATTAACTTGTCGCATTGTCTCCTTATGGTCTTCCAGCATCATCACCCGCTAAACGAGCTCCTCAACCCAGAGTTGCGCAAGTGCAAGAAAGGCTTAGAAAGCAACGGCCCACCCACGGTACTGCACCCGCCAGAGTGTTCTCGTTCACAAAGTCCAGCAATGTTGAGTTTCCCCAAGGTCTGCCAAGTAACCAACCTAACGCTATCCTCTGGGCGTCGGCCATTAGTGGATGCACGACCCGAGCTGAGTGTCATCGTCCTTCATGGTAAGCTTAGTATCTCTTGTTGGACATAGTTACCGACAAGATTGGTTGCGCAAGCGAACAACGAAGGACGTGCATGGCTTATGGCTGCAGGACTTGTGGAACCGGGTGTAGATTGTGATTGGAATGGCGAAATGTAAGCGGCTTTTGCTGGGACTTGAATTGCAGAGTTCTTCTGGTAAGACCGGACGGTCCAAGCATTGCTATACATATTAAGCAATGGTTAGAAGAGATTACCGTTGAATTTGAGGGGATAGAACAAGCCATGCGACAAAAAACGCGTCGAGAGTCCAGGGCGACGAGGAAATATTGACGCGACGCGGTTTCAGAGTCCGAAGATTACATAAACATTTTCTAGCGCGGTTTCGGGGGCGCGGTAAACACAGGACTAGGTCAGAAGTGCTTTAGCTCGGAACTGCTTTTACTCTGGCTAAAATATAAATGCTACCCATCAACAAATCTCTTTCCCAGCATTGCATGAAACATGCATTTATATAAAAACCAAATAAAAACTTCAATTGTGTTTGAATTCAAGTTGTGTACGGGGAAATCAGCAAGCTACATAAGGTGAATTCCTTTATCTTCAACTACTCGAAATAATATTTGTCAGCTACAAGGTGTCAACTACAAGGTGATTTTTGCTGTATCTTTTCGACAGTCAACTACTTGGGGTACTATGAGTCGGCTGCTGCGCCATCGCCGAGCCGCTTGCGTGGTGCGCTCCTCGCAGCTGATAAAACCGTAAGAGAGAAAGCTGTATACTTTATTTACTATAAGTACTGGATGACTTTCCGTAAGCTTTTATTCGGGGAAATAGTTTATTCCTTGATATCTTGGCTCTGTTGCCGTGTTGCCGGGGCCAAATGGGGACGAAAAATATTCTTCGTGCCTGTTTTCACGTCTCAATAAACCTTAATCTAGTGTTCATAGGGTCAGACCCCTCTTCATAGATTAAACTCGCTGGAATAAAATGTTCCCAAGCCAATCTTGGCCTCATCCTCTCCCCTCATTGGCTGAAACAACCTTCTGTTGTATAGCAATTGTATAGTACATGATAGCCTGTCTACATCAGACACTGTAAACATTGTAATTAACTTCAGGGTACCATGCAGCACAAAATATTGGGAACGGAACGATAAATAGCTTGCGGAATGTCAGCTTGAATAGATTAAACGACTAAACTGACATTCGATCTCCGAAATATGACATGTAACCTTACGGAAAGTCATCCACTCTCCATTAACAAATTTATTTCTCAGCATTTTTGTGTGCATTTATAAAAATAGTTGTTACCAGTGTGCAAGGAAATCAAATTCAGCGACACACTATAATTATCAAAGCATATTTATTAAGGAAATATTCATGCACAAAGATCAATTCTTTTCATTGATATGTACGCAGTTCAAATTCATATAAGTTCCAGCTGCAAACAATATGTTTCTGCATAGGTAGCCCGACAGATCCGGTGGTGACCAAAGTGATAGCCCGAATCCTACCTAGATGCATATGGCCTTGGTCGTGAGAGGTCTGGTGACAAGCTGAACAGGAGTCGCGTCGCCGCACGGCGGTGTTTTGCCGCACTTTTGAAAGATACAGAAGCATAATTAGGATCGCCGGGCCAGAACTCATCGACGTCTAACTTTTCTCCTCCGTCCAAGAAGCAATTTTCTGGTTCTTGTAACATTGCGACTACGCAACGGTGCTACCACGGCCAAAGCTGACCCTCTCGGCGCCCCATAGAAGACAATGCAGGGTTCAGGTTTTCCGCCCGTGTTCAAGGTATAAAAGTTAGCCAACGCATTTCACTCAGTCCTCAACCCACCCAACCTCTCAGTCTTTCACAGCACTCTCATTTAGTAGGTACGCCCACTCCCTTTCATCGGTCATCGCTTCAACTTAATTATACTTTGCTCACCGCTCTGACAACTAGCATAATGAAGTTCGCATTCTCCGCCGCGTTGTTGCTCGCCACATTCCTTACCGTTCTCGCTGCCCCGGCATGCACCCCCTTCATCCTTATATGCAAATCGCCAAATCACTTGGTACTGAAAAATGGATGCTACGTCTGTGACGGTCTGCCAGCCCCCTTCAGACAAATGAGGTGAGTTTTTTGTGTGCACGTAGACGGTGTTTTTAATTTGTCAATTCGCAAAGGCAGATGAACTAAGAGTGTTTTCGCCACTAGATTGGCGTTGCGAGTGGGATCAAAATATCGTTGGCTTATTTTTCACAATGGTTGTTTATTGGACATTTTTGCTTCAATTTTGGTTAGATTTAGAGGGTCCACCGTCCGCCTTATTCGACTTCGAGTTAGTTTAAGATGTGGTTGCTTTATTTATTTTTTACAACAGTCATTCATTTGTTATTTTCCCCTCATTCATAGTTGGAGCGAGGGGGTCCCCGTTATTTCAGTTTTTTTCTGGTAGTCGCTTACTTGTTTCAATGTTTTTTGCACCGAGGGAATGGTACCCCATTTCATCCGCCTCAGTCCCAGCGCCATTACCTGTATACTCTAATATAAGTCGTGCACCCAACACCCGCGCCTTTGCCTCTTATTTTTGACAATCGGTGTATCATTACTCCCTGCTAATCTTACATGATTCACAGAATCCTCACCCCTTCAAAATCCCGGCTTCTATCCTCAGAGTCAGACCGATCATCAAGTCGTAACCCCGACGACCGATGATTCTCAAAAGTCCCCTCCAAAACCTCCGTAAACGATATCGGAGTTACTTGATCAAACTCCTCCCCATTGACTGTCGGACGTGTCTTCTCCGTCGATTCAGCCACATCCAATGATTCTTCATTGTTCCTATTTTGAGTATGCCGGTACAAGCTGGTAGACACCACCGCGACGTTGCATACAAGCAAAGACGTCAATGCCTAGTAATACACAATTGACTCAGAGAATAGCGGGGGAGTCCGAATTGAGATGTATCGTACCTCAACGTGTCCTAATCCTGTCATGACGAGGTTTGGTTGTGGTCCGAGGTCGATCGGGCTGAACGCCATGATGGTGAAAATGAGGGCTGAGAGTAGAGTCAAGATGCTAGATGAGAACACTGCGAGCACTAGGACTCTCTCCTTCCTTGGCAATCTGATCTTCCACAGAAAAGCGAGCGGGAAGAGAACGAGAACGGTATCGCCCATTAAATCAGCTAACAAAAAAAATAGGGATCAATAAAAATCTCAAGCTCTCGGGAGAGCCTAAGCCCACCTCCGGACATGACGGCCCCTCTAAGAATAATCCCGTTCGACGTCGTGCATTGATTATTCCAACTCTTCTGCCCCCCGCCACAAGTAAAGAGCGGACTGACGACGGAGAGAATGTAAACGAGTAGGAATATTACCGCCAAAACGATGGAATATTTCCGGGCGCGATGGGTGGGAGGGAATATTCTCCCGAGGGATAAGGCTAGTACTATCCGGGTTGACCTGAAGATACGAATTAATAAACAGCTTCCCAGAAGTGACTTGACGCGTACCATACTATCGTCAAGAAGAAAAATATCTGCAACCAATATAATTCTAGAACCTTTTCCAGCGGTGAATCTGCGCAGCGTCGGGGAATCGACTCGTCATTCTTAATTCATAGAGCTCTCGACTCACCAGGATCCCGAAACTGCAAACAAAACGTCACAGTATACACAATATCCATAACCAGCGGAATAACGACGACATAGTCATCCCACCACAGCCTCTGAATCCGATACCTTCTCCAAAGGCGGTAGAGCGTCGATGAAATGGCGATTGCCTGAAAGATGGTGAGGGTGACTGCCTTATATTTGAGGTCAGGTGAACAGGTGAAGCTGGGGCATGAGCTTACTTTTCCAGGCTAGAACGGATTGGGCGGGAAGACCCATGTTTTAGGAAGAGGAAGGTGGCGGGAGTGAATACGGCACTGAGATGGCATGGGTCATGAAATATGTAGAGGTGTCACTGCTGACAACCCTGGTAAGAAGTCTTTATTTGGAGTGAAACTAAGTTACCATCATGCTCGGGGTGGAGAATGAGCGGAAGCCAGATACGTGGACGGTGGTGGTTCGTGAAGGTGTTATGGACAATGGACGTCCCTGATCCTCCGTCGGGTTTTACCGTGATAGTGGGCCGTGGCCGATATCATTCTCATTACCTGGATAACAGCATGAACGTTTGATGTTCTACGTTGATAGTACACACCGGACAACTTAAACCGGTCTGCGCGCGCCACAGAATGTTGATCGGACGTACGCTCTCGAGTATGTGTCCAGGAAAGACTTGAGATGAGCTTCGGTTTCGTCTTCAGGCCCAGTCGAAATGTAACACAGGAAGTTGAGTAGTAGAATCGAGGAAATGAACGTTTACCTGCTTTTAAATCCCCACTCCAGCAAGCTCTGCGCACCGCCCAAACCTTTGCTCGCCTTCGGAGCCTACCCGAGGTAGGACTCCTGGCAGTAAAATTCTCTGTAGCGGATCAATGTCCTGGATCGCCGCGATCCAGGACATTTTTTTTCCAAGGTCAGTGACTGCCCTTTCGCGCTCATCACCCCTTGCAATGTTGCATTGTGGCACTAAACGCTATCCTGCCGAATCTTCTTCCCATGACATCTAAATCGCGTTCTGTCAATGGCAATGGTGTGACTTTTGGTACGAGTTAGAGCGCTTGGTATTCATTGAAGGCCGTCGGGTGAGCGGGAACAACCGAATTGATGATGGAGGGTGATAAGGCCACGTGGGTAAATGACGCCCAACTCTTTTCTTCATCCACTTGTACTTAGTGATCTTTCTCATTTGTTAGAGCCGTTTCGCGATGGAAGCCGTCGTTCCAGCGGAGATAACTTCTGAACTCACTCAGATTCTGTCCAATCTCGTGCTGGGTGACAATGACATACGATCTAGGTATACAATAACACTATATCCCTGCCCTAGGTCACTCAAAACGTCTTATATAGTGCCGAGAAAGCTGTCAACGATCGTCTTGCACATTCTCCAGAGCTTTATTTGCTTGCTCTGGCCCAGTTTGCTATAGCTGCAGACCAGGAAGTCGTCAGTCGATCTCATTCCTCCCCTGAGCGATGCTAACCCTCTTCCGCAGATGCGCTCCTTTTCACTCGTCCTTCTCCGACGTTTACTTTTCCGCACAGCCCCACCATCCCAGTCCTCTCCGCATCCCCCAGCCACAAGACTGACGCTGTACGACCACCTGTCTTCGCAAACCCTAACCACGCTAGAACGACTCCTCCTCCACTCCCTCTCCCATGAACCGTCGACTCTCGTCAGGAAAAACAGCGTCGACACCATCTGCGACCTTGCTAACCAAGGCATGGCCCGCGGACGCCCTTGGCATGCACTGCAAGCACAGACGTTTAGCATGACACAGGCAACGGAGGCAGCTGGGCTGAGGGAGAGTGCGTATCGGGTCTTTGCAGGATGTCCGAATCTGGTCATGGACCTACAGACCGATGCGGTGCTTGGTGTTTTCCAGAGAGGACTTCAGGATGGGTATAGCATCGAGGTGAGTACCCTTCTTCCCTCTTCTACATCTCGTCACCGTCATCAACATTGCGTAGGTACGACATGCAGCCCTCCTCGCATCCGTATCCTACCTCTCCTCAACGGACCCAGGCCAGCTCTCCCTCTCCCTCTCACTAATGTATCCAATGCTCGACACTCTCCCATCACTTGCCCAAAACCTCTCATCCTCCTCTGCAAACTACCACCACCTATCCACCTTTCTCTCAACACTAACACCCCTCTGCTCAACCCACCCACAGCTCTTCGCGCCCCACTTACCCGCACTACTAACCTTCCTACCCGCACTAATACTTCCTGCCGTCGATTGTGGACCTACACCCACCGTCGGGCGACCATTCCCTAACGGGAACGGAGCACGTCAAGGGGCGTTTGTGTTCCCGCCCCCCGGGGAAAGTCCTCCTCCACCATCGGAGGATCAACAAGAGGACGACGAGCGGACTACCCTCCGTCTATCTGCGTTGGAATTCATGATCAGCTTGTCGGAAGCTAAACCGACGATGGTGAAGAAGGTGGCGGGGTGGGTCGATATTATCGTGCGCGCGTGTCTTGAAGGTATGGGTGAGCTTGACGAAGAAGATGCGGGGGGTTTGGAGGGATGGTTAGCTGAGGATGTACGTCTCCCTCCTTTCCATTCTTTCGCCTTCCTGCTTACTGGTTCGTAGCCCTCGAATTCATCAAGCTCCTCGGAAACCGAAGCTCCCCCGGCGCTATACGAACAATCTCTTGATCGACTTGCGTGCGCTGCTGGTGGTAAGGCGGTTCTACCACCTGCCTTTCAGGTAAACGCCTCCTCGTTTCTCTATTTCAACGTTGACTTCGAGTCTAGTACATCCCATCCATGCTTGCGAGCTTCGACTGGCGGGTACGCCACGCAGGGTTGATGGCTATCGCAGCCATCGGAGAAGGAACCGGAAAGGTCAAAATTCGCCTTCTCATTTCCCATATACTTTTTTATTGAGACGTCCCATGTAGGTCATGCAAAACGAACTTGGAAAAATCGTCGAGTGCGTTTTGCATCCCTCATTTGCCAATTATCAGTCTAACTCCCCTGCAGCCTCGTCACGCCCATGTTCGCAGACTCCCATCCGCGCGTTCGGTACGCTGCTTGTCAGTGTGTGTAAGTTTCCCCTCTATCTCTTTATGTCCATCAACAAACGGTTCAGCTAACTTGGTTGTTAGCGGCCAACTCTGTACAGATTTAGAGGTAACTATACTATTTCTTCTATCAGCGCCCACTTGCCTTCATTTCGGCACCGGTGCGCTTCTTCCTGAGGAGACACCTCACTTCGGCTCCACAAGTTACAAGGGCCCATGTGGTTTCTGTTGACGGATTCCGTTATGCTCGGAACCCATTTCTTATCTGTCTAACTCGCTTTTCTTTGAAAATCAGGAAATCATCCAAGAGAAATATCATCAACAGTTATTCGCAGTGTTAATTCCTGCGCTTGAGGATCCAGAGCCTCGGTCCGTCTTTCCCTTTCCCTCATTCTTCCTTTCCCCCCCCTTTCCTTCCTTCTTCCCACCCACGCCGGCCTTATTCCAATGCTAAAAACTCAAACAAAAAAAAAAACAGAGTCCACTCACACGCCTCCGCCGCCCTGATCAACTTCTGTGAAGGCGTCGAACGGGACACCCTCCTCCCCTACCTCGACCCCATCGTCGAGCGGCTCTTAAAACTTCTCAAAGGGCCAGAAGGCGGTGAAAACACCGTACGCACTTATGTGCAGGAACAGGTGATCACGACGTTGGCGATGGTGGCTGATGCTAGTGAGATTACGTTTGCAAAGGCGCGTGTTTTGGTTTTCTGAGTCGTGCTTTGGGCGGCGTTGATGGAGAAGTGTAGCATTATCCGGATATTATGCCGTTGCTGTTGAATGTTCTCCGGAATGCTGATGGGGTTGAGTATAGGAAGTTGAGAGTTAAGGCGATGGAGTGTGCTGGGTTGATTGGTATGGCGTTTTTGCCCGGTTAATGAGTGCATGCTAATGGGTTATAGCCATTGCGGTTGGGAAGGACGTGTTCAGGCCCGATTCGAATACGCTCGTCGAGCTTTTGATGAGGATACAAAGTACGATTTCCTCCTCTCCTTCCTTCTCTTGATTTTTTAAAGAAGTTCATTCCCTACAGAAAGTCCAATCGACCCAGCCGACACCCAACTAGCACACTACCTCATCTCAACATGGGCCAAAGTATGCCAAGCCATGGGCCCCGAATTCGAGCCCTACCTCCCAGTCGTCATGCCCTCGCTCCTAACAACCGCGAGCGCCAAAGCCGACATATCAGTATACGGTACCCACCCCTTTCTTCTTGCTCCCCCTGTTCAGCGTTAACATTCCCTTCGTATTGAGATGAAGACAAGGAGAAACAGCAAGAAGAGCGCGAAGGTTGGGAAACGATCGAGATGGACGGACAGACGTTGGGGATTAGGACTTCGGCGATTGAGGAAAAGTGTCAGGCGTTTGAGACGCTTGTGATTTATTGCTCGACGCTTGGGGCGAGGTTTGCACCGTATTTGGCGCAGAGCTTCGAGGTTACGTTGCCTTCGTTGAGGTTTTATTTCCATGATGGGGTCAGGGAAGCGTGTGCGCTGTGAGTTCCCTCCCTCCCTCTCTTTTTTCCCCTCCTCCTTGTGCTGAGGTTGACTTCTTGGTTCAAGCGTCATCCCAATGCTCCTGGTCTGCGGAAAAAACAGCGGAACGCTCACTAACCAAATGGTCTCTGCGACATTCCACCAATTAATAACCTGCATCTCAACCGAACACGATGCCTCCTTCCTCGCCTCGCTCTACAAATGCTTCACCGACTCCATGCAGGTCATCGGCGGGCCCTCGGCACTCGCGCACGAGTATACGAATGGTGTTATGGACGCTACCAAGCGGCAGCTGCAAACTTTCGCCGAGCGGCGAAAGACGAGGGCAAATAGGGCTGCGGCGGATTTGGAGGAGAAGGAGGATATGGCGCTCCTTGAGGAGATTGAGGATTTCGCGTTGGAGGATATGGGGAAAATGTTGGCTGCGTTTGATGATAATCATCCGTTGTTGGTTGCCGTTTCGGGGGTTAGGGATTTAGGGTTTAATACTTGGGATAGCGATGAGGAGGGTGATGAGGAGGGGTGATGGTGGTGAGGAGGGATCTTGTGGGTTGTGCTTGGATAAATTCCTTCTATTGACTTAACGAGACTCTTAAAGATGCTCTCGGCGTTGAATTGGGCTACGGTGTGAAGATTGGACGCTGGACGCTAGCCACCGCCGCGAACGGTGCGGTTTTTATCATCATGGGCCCACCATACGCAAGGGAACTTTCCATTTCTTCATAAAAACTTCACCGCTTGATCAACGTGGGGCAAAATCCTAACGTGGCCAGAACACTCATCAAAATTCCACATCAAGTACCGAGGTTCCAATACACTACTCATCTTATCCAGCAATGGAAGTGCAGTCATCAAGCCCGTATAGCTCAGTGGTAGAGCATTGTACTTATGAGGATATCCACCCATTGCATGCAAGGGTCTCGAGTTCGACCCTCGATATGGGCATTATTTTTGGTCACTACATAAAACAACACAAAGACGGAAGTCTACATTGAGTCTACATAGTCTCGTTCCCGACATTATAGGGCAGGATCAAGGGCTGTTCAGGAGGGAGATAAGATCCCATCGGCGGACTTTAAAGTCGGAGGCAAAAAATGGGAAAATTCACGCGCAAGATCCTGCCCTATAACGTCTAGTGCATTTTGATAGGAAAAAATGCACAACTATTCAGATACAATCAAGGTAGTGCAGTAAAGTTATTTTCAGAAAGGACATTCAAGTTGGTAATGTTATTTCGTCGCTTGAGGAGGAGGAGAATGGTGTGAGCAAGAGTGACCACCGTGACATTGTCACACGAGCCTCCTACTGATCAAATTGCACCAGATGTAGTACTAGTAGAGAGGTCCTGTGTTCGTGTTTTGTTCGCTTTTTTTGCCTCCGACTTTAAACTCCGCGGACCGCCGGACCGGACCTCTACACATCTGGAGCCGAGATTAGAGTCTACAATACTATAAAGGTTTGGAATTTGTTATAGGTTAGATATACACAATGTAAGCAGTACGCCTAGGTCAAGTATTTCAAGACTTACACCAGCAGCATGGCGCAGCTGGAAGCGCGCGGGGCCCATAACCCCGAGGTCACTCGATCGAAACGAGTTGCTGCTACTATTTGGCCATCATATCTCAGTATCTTTTCGTAAAACTTTTTGGGCCGCAAGTCTTGGCCGTTGGTTGCTTACTGTTACGTCTTCAATAATTCTTAACGTGGCTGGTGTCGAGACTAACATTTTTCACGAGACGGACTGCTCGGCCGCGGCCCGCCAAAGTCGCAGGTTTTCATGATGAAAAATTCTCGATATCAAGAGACTGACTAGTTGCGGCTATTGAGATTACTCAACTGGGTCGATTTCTTTTTTTCTGACTGGCTATAATATACAAATTTTCAACGTTCCGCCAGCCCCCTGTATGACTCGGAAGGTCCAGGACGATCTTCAGAAGCCGTTCGGATTATATTAGAATTGTAACACTATAACACAGGGCCGAGTCGTGGGTACATCTTCTGCGCCCCAGAACGCAAGACGTTTGCAGGATATCCACCACACCTTTTTAAACCTGAAAACTTGAAGTTCGCATTAAAGTCATTACAGTGATGAAACAGAAGGGTATTTAGTCATGTCCTGTGATCCACATAAGCTGCCAGTGTTAGTCGTCATCCGCGTTCTGGGCGTCATCTGGGTTCTCGGCATGCTTCTCGACATGCCTCTCGTCGTGATGGTGATGATGACGATCATGACTGGATATGGGATCAGTGCGTGCTACAACAGCTGCATAACGATTGACTCACCGCCGTACACCACAGCAATAGCAGGCCCTCGCTGACAACAGGATAACAGCAGTCCAAATAAAGATAACGGCGACGAGTGCCATCCAGACCGCATTTCCAAATTTGACATCGAAATGGAACTGAGAAAGGCTTGCCACCGTGTTCTTCGCAACTACCACGATGGCAATATCAATCGTCAACACAAGGGTGGCCAAAAGCGCTAAAACGATGGTGAGGAAGAGAGTGAAGATCGAGAAGGCGTGTGATTCCAGGTATAGCGAGGAGATGAGCGCGATAAGAGAGAGGCCCGAAGCGATAGGGTGGAGGACGAGGACGACTAGAAGTGCCTTCTGGACGATCGTTACCACGCTTTGCGAGACACCAACGTCAGCTGCAAAGCTCGCTGGAACTTCATACCCAAGGTGCGGTCCAATGCATTCGCCGTTGTTCTCAAGAGGGGTGGGCGCGTTCAGCGCTCTGTCGGGCGTTAGACACAATTTGCGGGATCGTGTAGGCACTCACCCCGTCGCGCAGACTCCCCAAACACCAAATCTCAGCTCTGTCGCCACGCTTGTAACAGGTTGCGGCTTTGACGTGGATTTGAGTTCCAAAATAAATATGGTCTTGATGATAGGTAAGGACAGCCCGACGAGGAGGAAAAGCAAACAGGCAACGAAGAGCAGGCCACAGCTCGCAGCTGAGATGGCGCGATACTTGACGAGAGGTTTGTGCTTCATGGAGGCGGTGGTACACTGTCAAGTAATATGGGCGCCCCTCATATCGCGACAAACGCTGAATGAGAAAGACAGAACTTTCCCACCAATATTTATCCTGCCATGTTCACAGCAGGTATTTAATTTTTATAATAGCTTTGATCGTGGTCTAACAAGTCCAAAAAGGGCAGGAACGTGGGCCGCGTGATCAGCGATCTCATGTGTGATTTTATACCCATCACGGGTGATGGACGGATAGGGGCCTCACACAAGCCTGTCATTGCTTTCGCAAATAAACTAAGGCGTCGAAGCAGAACGCAACAATACTGGTGTATTGTCAAGCTATAAGCAGTGCTAGTGGACATGGGCACCCTCACCTCAAAGTCGCTTCGATTCGGGGTTATTTATGTGCTCACTCTTAAATTCAAATCACTGGAGGAGAAAAAAATAAGCCATCAGTGCAGGGCGCGCTTTTATGGGGATTACTTACGGAAGCTGTGAGGTCGATTTAGACATACATTATCAGTTGCAGGTCCATCTTGCGTGACAAATTGTTTACAGACAGGTTTTGTTCAGGTTATTATCCGAATGCTTTCGCAAGAAATATTGCTGTGAGAATAAAACCGTGAGGACTGCTGCCATTGTGCGACTTCATCAACTCAGAGTCATCTCAAGATCCAGCGGATACTTTCTACCGAGGTAGGTAAATTCAGACTACTGTACTAAAATATCATATGGCACATCGCTGCCTTATTGGACCTTGGTGTGCATTTAGTGGTCATAGCACTGTTTCACTGCAGCTAAAATTCAAAATGTATCTCTGAAAGGCCCTACTCCATATTTCTCGGCCTTTTTGAACAAACTAAAAAGAAAGCACCGCACAGTTTGGGCTTTGTAGAGTCTCGAACTGTATATGGTCACGTGATATTATTATTAATAAGCAGTGACATCAGTCCCGAACTTTTTCCTATCCTCCTTCCCTGCTCTGATGCTCTGCTGCTCGCCTCTCTTCCTCCGCTATCTTTGTCAAGTGGGATGAGCTGTTATGGATTTCAATCTATTCAAGGAACGCTTCGGAAATGGCGTAAGGCTCTAATGGTGGATGACTCACCTCTTGCTGGCTTCCAGTTTCGGCCTTGTCTGATCTTTGCCAAGTCATAACTCATAGGTGCTGAAGTCCTTTTCGTTACTCTTCTCACCATTTTGGAACGTTTAGAGATCGGTGGTGGGGCGTGGAGGGCATGCGCACTCAACTCTTGCGGCTGCTCAATAAGTCTTCGGCTTCTGTCCAGGATTGGGACGCCTTAAGACCTATGGTTCCCATGATCAATTACATATGGCTCTTGGGTCAACAACACTCTGTCATTTAGCCGGGATTCCCGAGGAAGAGGATCATTCCGCACTTCCTTGCTTTTCATACTGGCCATATAAGAGCGACCTTGCCAGGAAAGGCTTCCCTGTCTTTTTAACATTGAGCTATGCTAGCATCTATCGTCCGATGGGCCGTCTTGTGTACCGTATCCTGGGGTTGTTGGAGCGTTGTACGTCGGTTCATGGTGGGAACCGCTCTTGACAACATTCCTGGGCCTCCCTCTCTTTCCTTCTTCAAAGGTATCAACTCCTCGGTAATTCGAGAAATTTCTTAGCAACCACGATTTTCAGGCAACCTTTCGCAATTGTTCAACACTCATGGTTGGGAGTTCCATAAAGCCATTGCGGCCAAGTGTGCGTGACCTTCTCGTTATCCATCGCCACACTGTACCATATCATGACAGATGGGAGCGTCATCAAGCTCAAGGCCCTCTTTGGTGTAAGTCGACCCTAACAATATTGCAAAAAGCTCAATGTTGGACGATACAGGAAAACCAACTATACGTATTCGATCCGAAGGCGTTACATCACATTGTAGTCAAGGTCAGTCCGTCTCATAGTAGTAGATTTGTAGTCACTAAGTCAGGTTGACATATATTCAGGATCAACATATCTACGAGGAAACAACGCCATTCATTGAGTGATTATTTTATTCGTTCTTGATGACCCTAGACTTTCGCTGACCAAGGGCGCTATTTTCAGAGGTAACCGCCTGAGATTTGGTAAGGCGTTGTTCGGGACCCTTGGTTGGTGACGAAAGTAATCTCCCAAACACATCACTTACTAATGTGAAGGGGAACATCATCGCCGGCAAAGAAAAATGTTGAATCCAGTGTTTTCTACAGCTCACATGCGCGAGATGGGTCCGTGGGTTTCTCTTCCAAGAATCTTGGTTTCGAATAAAGTTAATTTCCAGTACCCACTTTCTACAACGTGGTTTACAGAGTGGGCATCCGTATTTTGTTTGTCGAATTGGTGCTCACATTGAGATAAGCTTCGAGCCTCGATAGCTCAGAAAGTTACAGACGTTCCTCAGGAGGTAAACTGCTCTTCCAAAGTCACTACCCACACACCTCAAAGTATCGCTCTTATTCAGATTGATGTTCTTTCGTGGATGACTCGAACGGCGATGGAATTAATTGGACAAGGTGGATTTGGTTACTCGTTCGATTCTCTCGCGGAAGGCGCAACACCGCATCCATATGCCGTCTCAATCAAAGGAATGGCGTGCGTGCGATCTAAGCTTTCCTTGCCCATGTCCCTTACTAGTTAACCAAGTCCTGCCCTCTTGAAGATTGCAATTGCTCGCTCGTATCTGGTCGGCACCGCAGTCAAAATTGGTACTCCTAGATTCCGCCGCCTTGTGGTCGACTTGTTACCGTGGAAGAACCTACACGACCTACGTGATATCGTCGATACCATGCACAAAGTATCCGTGGAAATATATGAGTCCAAGAAGCGGGCGTTGTTGAATGGGGATGACGCAGTTATGAAACAGATGGAAATGGGAAAGGACATCTTGAGTATCTTAAGTTTGTAACTTCTCACAGGCTACCCTTTCCGATGACACTGATTCTCAAGGCAGTGAGGGCCAATATGGATGCGTCGGAAGAAGATAAACTAGATGAGTCTGAACTCATCGCGCAAATATCGTGTGTCTCCCCTTTCACTCATGTCAATTTCCCTTGATCTATCCGTTTCATCAGAGGTTTGACATTTGCTGCCGTGGACACCACGTCGGGCGCGATTTCTCGGATCCTTCATCTATTAGCGCAGCATCTGCATGTCCAGGAGAAGCTTCGTCGTGAGGTCACCGACGCCCGCTCTAAGCATGGGGACCTTTCCTACGACGAATTGGTCTCACTTCCATACCTCGATGCAATTTGCAGAGAAACTCTTCGCCTTTATCCCCCAGTCTCGTATGCCTCTAGAACGTATGTGTCCCTTTCCTGATGTAAACTGTACTCCATCACATATTTTCCGCGCTGCCCGCATGTAGGGCCCGTGAGGATATCGTCATGCCCCTTTCTAAACCTATAAAAGGCCTCAACGGGAAAGAAATTTACGAAATCCCAATCCTGAACAATACCAACGTCATCATTTCGATTCTCGCAGCTAATCGTAATCCAGAAATATGGGGCTCTGACTGCCTTGAATGGATTCCGGAGAGATGGCTTACTCCTCTTCCTTCATCCGTCACTGATGCGCACATCCCGGGGATTTATTCACACTTGTGAGTCGTTGGAAAACCCATTCTTAATGCATAACGCTAATTTTCTAACCATGAGAATGACTTTTTTGGCTGGGGGAAGGGCTTGCCTGTGCGTATACCACATTTCGTAGAAGCACTGGACTGATACCCGCGCCACAGGGGATTTAAATTTTCTCAGCTCGAGATGAGTTCGTGTCCCACGATGACTAGCTGATTATCGGCTTATTTTCCTTACAGAAATAGTTCTTTCGCTTTTGGTTGAATCTTTCCGACTTGCCCCCTCCGACAAGGAGATATTTTGGCAGATGACCAGTCTTACAACCCCAACTGTGGTTGGCGAAGGTGGTAGAACTCAGCTTCCACTCAAAGTCAGCAAGGTATGAAGAGGAATGAGTGCATTTAATTGTTAGCCATCTTTTTTTCTCGTTTCATGCTGCTTGTAGTGTGGATCATGTAGGCTGGTAACTTGTGGGGAGCATCCTTACACAAAGATCTTCTCTTTTTTTTTTTTTTTTTCAAAAGGCATCTCACATTCGTATAAACATGTACGCAGGAGTTTGAAGAACTAAAATTTTTCGAATGTCTCTAGAATGTTGGGAGACGCTGAAAACGGCGGGGTCTCGGCGACGTTGCACGCACTACTGTGATGGACGAAAGACTCACATAGATGATCTAGTCACAGCCCCGAACATCCAACGCTCGAACGATCAATGGCAACAAAAACTCGCCCGTATCTAAGTTGCCCTTCCTAATCCTGAGTCGGCTGAATTCCGGTGCCCCCAAACCGAGTCGACGTGGTTTCCGATCTGTCTGGTTTTTTCACTTTCTGTGCATGCATGTGTTGCAAATGTTGGCGTACTTGAACTCGTTCTACAAATATCGTTAAATTTAAGCTGTGCCATGTTGTGGGTATACTGTGAAATTTTGTGGACACGACCGGGAAAGTTCCATAGGAACTCGAGCAACAAATCGCTCGCGGACTATTCCACCTAAACTTTATGCGGTCATTTCCCTCAAATCCACATCTTCAAACCGAGCCCGAGCGCCACAGTTACTGCTGGCCCTAGTCCTCCCCATAGATTACCACGCGTTCTAATTCCGAGTGACGAGGGCGGGTCGAAGACGGTCGCGATGACAACCGTTGTACTTGGCTCAGAGTCGAGGCTCCCGGTAGTAGAAGCCCTAGGAGGTGGCGTAAGCGTAGACGATGGGGATGATGTGGAAGTCAACGTCGACTTCGACTCCGATGTCGTGCTTGATGATAAGGTGGACGACGACGAGGATGAAGAAGAGATAGAGACTTAAAGGCGAAATGCTTAGCTAGGTACGCGGTCAGACATTGGCAAACGCCACATACCTGCAGCACACATCTCTGCCAAGACTCCATTGGCCGTGCTCAAATCTGGGCGTTTGCAGCGAGATTGGGCGCAAGTGATAGTGCCAGTTATAAACGTGGGTTTAGAGCAAAGACAGCTTGTATCAGTTCTATAGAGACACGGGGACAGGAAGGCGTGATGAGAAGAGGTCATGAGAAGAGGAGCGAGAACGGACGTACAATAAACATCGAAGGTCTACAGCTTCCCGAGTTACGCAACTGAGGGAACAAAGTGGGAGGTCTGTAATCCCCTTCGCCGAGATGCCAGGCAACAAAACGTGGAGGAAGGCGAAGAGCTGAAAAAAGTCCAGAAAATATCTTGTCTTGAAAAACATTGGGCGAACGCAACGATCGCAAAAATATGTAGGAGAAATAAAGATATCGACACGAAAAGAGTGGGTCGTAGGGAGGGCTAGCCCACAAGATCAACGAGTGGACGGCGGGTAGAACAGCCTGGTATATGGGTAAGTGCGACGGGGATGGGATCCAACTGAGTTGACTGTCAGGTCAACGACACCATGTGCTTTTGTTGTTTCCCATGACGACGACGCCAAGACAAGCGCCTGCATAGACAGTTAGACCTGCAACGTGAGATAATTCACGGGCTGAAGCGGACAACGGGATAACTTGAAGTCATGAGCTTGAACAGCAGAGGAAAAGGGAAACCTGTGTGCGTTATGAGAGAGAGGGATCAGGAAGTTGACAAATTTCCATTTACTCAAGCTATGTAGCTAGCACGTGAGTGACTGTCTCACATGTTTATCTTATCTTATCTGCAATTGGAAACCTGTATCGGGCCACGTCATGATCCCCAGTGAAAATCGACCCTAAAAAATGGCCAAATGGATCGGTGGAACCCGATCTGAACAGGGGAGATGGCCGGAAATTGGCAAATATATCGATTTGATCCGGAGGAACCCGATCTGCACAGGGTCGATTTTCACTGGGCATGATCTGGTCATGACGCTCCTGGGATTGTAAGCGGAATAAACAAATGTTGACTTGGAGAGGTGCGGTTAAATTCCGCCTCAGGAACTTACACAGCACTGCGAAGGACATGTAAAGCACTGGGTGTGTGGTTTGGGTGTGGTGGTTCACACACGACGACGACTTCTGAAAACCATTTCCGTTGAATATCGGGGTTCAATTCCCCTCCTGTGCCTCCAAGGTGTGAGAGTCTTTTTGGTGCTTCCAAGATGTGAAAACATTTTTGAACCATTCTGCGACGATCTCGAAGCGTGTTCAAAGGCACATTACGACGCTGCGCTTTGTGGTTATAACATTTGGTATAGATGTGATTAGATCGTGGTATTGGTGAATGAAGAGAATGGTTCCAGCCAAAAGTAAAAGCAAGTGTCACGTAGAGGGCGGCGAAGGCAATTATGATGGGGGGTCAGAGGAAGAAGGTGCGGTGATGCGGAACTGAACGGGGGTCGAACCTGCGCAATGAAAATGGGATTCCGGGCGACCGCGTGAAACAACGAATTGGTGTTCAACGCCCCCTCAGCACCATACAGCCATACCGAGCACCAACCCAACCATACCAAGCGTCAACTGCCCTCCAACCCTCAGTCCTCCCGCATGAGAAGTAGGCGGCTGATATATGGTAGCGACGACGACCGTGGTGCTATCACTGGTCGTCGAGCTACTGGTGATAACGCTGGTTGTTGTCGGAGGACTGGTAATAACCGCTGGTGCGACGACTGTGGTCGAAGTTGAGGTGGTAGCGGTGAAAATTTCTGGAACGGAGGTGGAGGAGGTGGAGGAGGAGATGGAGATGGAGGGTACAGCTGATGATGACGATGAGGACGAGGTGGCGGGTGCAGGTGCTGCGCAGGTGCGTTAGTCTGTGCAGAATGAGACAGGGAAAATGGCTTTCGTACCAGTTGCACAAATCTCATTCAACACTCCGTTGGTAGAACTCAAATCTGGGAGTGTGCAAGACCCTTGTGCGCACGTCACTGTCGTAGAGACGAAGTTGGGTTTTGAGCAGAGACACGTCGTGTCCGTTCTTCAAGTTCAGTATCAAATTGAGTCAAACGAGTCATAGCCGAAAAAGTGAGGACATACAGAAGGCATCCAACGCTAGCAGCCGTCTGGGTTACGCAGCTTAGGGAACACACAGGTAGATCGATGATCCCCTGTGCGTTTACAAGCACTAGAAGGGAAAGAATAGAGGACACGAGGAGGCGGAGCATCGAGCTGAGCGAAGAAAAGATTGAGAAAAGACAGGCTAGGGTTCGAGGTCAATGAGCGGGCAGGCCAACGTCGGAACGATGAGTTAGGAGATAAAAGAAAAGTTGCGGTTGTCTGTTGGAAACGTGGACTGCGTGATTTGGTTACCGCGGCGCGTGTGAGCGCCATCACTGGTGATGTTTTTGACAAAGATGACCATTGTCACTGCCACTGCCTACTTGGTCGATGCTCGAGAGGTCCCGCTCGCTGGTGCTGGTGGTTGAAGGGCAAGAGACGAAACACCGACATACGCCAAGGGCGTCTCGGATCTGAATGGCGTGCAAAGACCAAGACTATTCTCAAACAAGATGGCTGTCAGACAGACGTGACGTGACCGCGTGACCAGGGACGATGACAGGAGTTCAAGGCTGCCGAATGTTCTGTTTCGCTTTTTCATTTCATTTTTCGAAAATTTCAGGGGACTTTTCGCTTCATTTCTCAAGTAGCAAAAGAAATGAAAAATGGATCCAAAACGGCGCTGCGACTTATGTATGCTCAAGCGCTCATGTAAGGAATTGAGCCTTGCTTGAAGTTACTTCATGCCTACCGTGTGCGGACCACCACGCCATAGGTAGCCACAACAGGATGTTATATATGAGGTAGCCTTTTTGCTCAGGTTGCTTAGTCGTGAAGGACAACTTGAATTGCGCTCTCTACTTTGTAGAATAAGTCGCGGACTTGAATCTTCCCCTCATTTCCAATTGTTTTCCAACTTGATAGTGGAAGGTAAATTTGTCATGGAACCTGAGGAGGTGTGCGTGGGCATTGGCGTGAGGTAAGGGTACATCATCGAGTGGCATAGACAACCCCCGAGGTGATCTGGGTAGTGTACCTCTGTCCATCTGATCTTGGTCAACCATAAGTCCTTCCTGGTAATCAGAAATTGCTTGAAACAAGAGAAATAGTCGACGAACCTTGGTCTGGTTCATCGATATCCATCATCTGTACCCCGGTGTCTCTGCCTGGTTGCTCTATGCCCACTCTTGTACCCAGCCCTGGATTTGCTGTTAAGTTGGTAGCCACCTTCGGTCGTTCTGATGCGTCCGTGTTCGCAGAGCGTGCTGCAAGGAGTCTGGCTGGGATGGTTGCAAGCTGACGTCGCCAGGGAGCGTGCCCATAATAAGTCGCTCTTGAAACGGGAGTGCGTTTTCCGCCGCAAAGCCTCAAGCAGTCGCAGTACCATTGGGATTCGGTCACTGGTGGGAGAGGCATATTCGAGAGGTCGGCGGTCGCGCACTAGAGATAAGCGACAGGTTCTTGGGAGTTCTGCTTACATAATTCTCACGTTGAAAGTTGCCTTGAGCATGTATATTATGCACCATGAAATATTGTATTGCGAGGCTCGAGCCGAGAATTATGTACATCACATGCATCGACAAGCAAAAGACCTCGAGGTCATATATTGTAACTAACTGGTAAGAAACGATCTGAACAGATGAAATCGGACAAATCCGACAGGAGCTGATTTAAATCACCCTAATTCACCGTGGTTTTCACAGGGCCTGAATGCCCAATACTTGCGGAATAGGAAGGGTTTATACAGATTATTAGCTTGAGGTTGCCGTCAGCGGAAAATAACGTCCCAAGGTAGCTCCTGCAAGATGACTCATTCACAGGTGGTAAGATACATGGAAATCTGCTGTGAGGTATACAATAATCCTCCTCAAAGGTCGGAATGAATCCACGAAGGCCATTTCAGAATCAGCAGAACTTGCAGAAGGCTACAAGGTACAAGAAAACCATATCAAACGCCGACGTGACGAGCAGAAAGGACCTCACATTCGGCGACAACTGAAGGAAAAGTGTATCAGGAGATTACCTCTTTCAATAAAAGTAATTACGAAGATCACTCACGCGCTTTCTTCCCTTCAGAGTTTATGGCCATATAGCATTTGTATGCTACGGAGTGCAGACGGTCATGTCAGCGTAAAACTGTTGGTAGTTGAACGCAAAAGCGAAAAGCACCTGTAGCTATCGTACTATAAAGCTCCGATCTTAAAGCTCCATCTGTCTGGAGAATCTCCTTATCTTTCATGGAGTGCCACTTGGGATCAGGACTAGCCCACGCTAGCAGATAATAGGTATGAGAAACGGAGAGCAACACCGCATAGATTCACCACTCACTGCCAGATGGATAGATAATTTGGATTCGCTTTGTAAAAGCCCGGTCCACTCTGGTCGCTTTCTTGGAACCAAATACAATTGCTATTGGCGCGTCTTGCAGAATGCCTGGGTAGACGTCAGTTATAATGGTAATAGTATCGTCATCCTTCATGATAATTTCTCCCATATCATCTTCAAACGTTTGAAGATCGTGATCTGTCATCCCTTCTGCTTTAGCTATGCAAGCCTTCAAAGAAGCGACAGTGTGAGGCGGCGAAACAGAGAGAATATTGATGCGACCCAAGGAGGTATCATCTTTATCGAAAGATGTCTTCGAGGTCACCTCTCCGCTCTCATCGTAAACACGATAATGGACTGAATGACCCCAATGAGCGCCCTTTTTTTTAACTAACAGAATGAACACGTACCGAAACGTGTTTGAACCTGATCCCCAACCCACTGATCCAATGCCCCGGTTTTGTTTGACGCTGGGGACCGTTTCCCGCTTTCCTGGGACCCAACGACAAGAGCTAACGGATCAAGTGAGGACGAGCCTGGCCCAAGATCCCCTCGAAACGAGAGACGAGCAGCACCGTCCACAGGTACCTTTTCCGAGAGAGATAGATACAATGCGCAGCTTTCGGGCGCTGCTGAGAATCCCTCGACTTTGCAGAGATGCTTCTTCAGCGATGCGGCCGTATGCGGTGGCGCCACCGATCTAGGCATTACGCGACTGATGAAAGCATTGTTGGAGTAGATGGGGTTGTTCGATTTGATTGGTCCGTCTTGGGCGTATAGGCGATAGTAGACTGTGGCAGGTTAGATAAACAACGTTAGGAGAAGCAATGGGGCAACGTACTGTAGCGAGGACCGGGCCCAGGGTTCTAAGACTTTCGAAATTAGATAGGCCGCAGAAGTGGGTGGACACTCACGGGCTCGGTTCCCCCTAAACCATCCGACGAAGCTAACTCAGAGTTTCTTCCGTCGCTGAGCAACTTGGGTGGTGATGCACCGTCACCAATGGTCATCGTTAGGTCCTAAGATAGCCCACGGCTCTGCTGTCGGTGTTGATCGGCGCTTGTCAAGGAGTGATCATGTGGACACCGCACAGCCTGCACCAATCCACTTTGTGGCTGTCTATTACAGGGGTAAGTTGAAGTTGTTGAACGATGAACCGATGATATTTGCAGTTTGTTGAAGGTAACTCTTCCGTTTAAATAACGTTTTGGACTTATTGGCGAACTCAGCTTTGGCCTGGCCATTCTTATTGGCATCCCTGTGAATAATAATGATGTGTTATGTGCGTATTTGGAACGACTAGTACTTGGTGGCCGTCACAAGGAGCAAAGAGAACTTACTAAACTAACTGGAGTCGCTTTTGGTTTCCAGAATGATTGGGAAAGAGGAACTTGCATACGTTGCCGGTCCGGTCGGACGGCCTGAGCCGAGACCCCAATATCACGTGGAGCTGTTTGAACAGCCCAGCGGGCGCTAATGAGAATCAGTGGATAAAGATGACCACCAGCGAAGGAAGACAAAGCTTTGGCCGGTTGATCGACGGAAGAAACCCTATGCAGGATGCATCAGATGGTCGTGGAGGAACCGAGCCCGTGAGTTTCCACCCACTTCGAATTCTGCGACCTATCTAATATCGAACGCAGCACCCTGGGCCCAGTGCTCGCTACGGTATGATATCCGCTTGCTTTTGCTAACTTCATTCATCTTACATAGCGCAGTCTACTATCGGCTGTATACTCAAGAGGGACCAATCACATCATACAATCCTATCTATTCCAACAATCCTTTCATCAGCCGCATAATTCCTAGATCGGTGCCACCACCGCGAACCGCCGCATCGCTGAAGAGACATCTCTGCAAGATCGAAGGCTTCTCAGCGCCCGAAAGCTGCACCTTGTATTTATCTCTCTCGGAAAACGTACCCGTGGACGGTGGTACTCGTCTTTCCCTTCAAGCGGACTTGGGGCCAGGTTTGTCGACATCTGATCCGGTGGCTCTTGTTGTTAGTCCCCAGGAAAGTGGAAACCGGTCTCCAGCGTCAGTCGAGACAAGGGCATTAGGTGAAATTGGGGAACAGGTTCAAACACATTATGGTGTGTGTTCATTCTTCGAAACTCAAAGCGGCGCTCATTGGGGTCATTCAGTTTATTACCGCATTTACGACGAGAACGGTGAAGTCACCTCGAAAATGTCCTTCAATACAGATGATACCTCGCTGGGCCGCATCGAGACTCTATCTGTTCCGCCCCCTCACGCTGTCGCTTCTTTAAAGTCTTGCATAATTAAATCTGAAGGGGTGTCGGCTCATGACCTTCAAGTCTTTGAGGACGACACGGGCGAAATTACCATGAAAGATGACGATATAATTCCCCTTCTTGCTGACAGCTATCCAGGTAATGTGGAAGAGCAACCCATAGCAATTGTGTACAAGGAAACTCGAACACCAAACCTTGGGGCTTTTACGAAGAAGTTTAGATGCAAGTACTCTCAGAGTGTGTGATCAAAATATACGTTTCTCGTCCACATTTTCCTCATTATCATGACCTTTTAGCGTGGCCTAGTGATGATCCCAACTGGCACTCACTCAAGCCTGGGGAGATTTTCCATACAGATGGAATATCGATAAAGAAATTCTACAAGACGAATAGTATAGGTGACTTTCGCATTTGAATTGAACTCAGGGCATCACGCTGATAGGCCTGCACACTGTAGAATCCGATTGCTATATAGCAATAAACTCTGAGGGGAAAAAAGCCTGTAAGTTTCTCCTGTCTCCCCACCAACAGTCTTCTCTCCCTGGCGCCGGGTGTTCTTATACCACTCCTCTCCATAGATGTCTCCAATCGTGAGCTTCTATTCACTACCTAAATTGATATATAACTTAGGCCTTTTTCTTCCTCGTAGATTGGGCGCAGTTCTGTTGATCCACCCCCCATGCTCTCTCATGTAGACAAGGAAACGTCTCCGAAGATAAATTTCTCCGACATTGTCTATAACAAGCTTGTACTATCCTAAAATTTCCTCTGTGCGCTGGTCTGTTGTATGCAAATTATGACTCGCATATACGAAATTCACTGAGTTTTACAAGCTAAATGAAATAATTTATCCTCATGTGAAGTAATAATATGTCAACACGCATAGTTACGCTCGCATACTGCAATCTGCAGGGCGTCCTCTTCTGTTCCGTAAAGTTATCAATAAGTAATACATGTCCGAGTTTGAGGTTTCGGACGTGTGTTTTTGTCGAAATAAAAAAATAAAACGCTAATCCTGTCTACTCACAAGAAGCTCATTATATCTCCAACCGACAAACACAAAAAGAAAAATAGAACTCACTGTAGCCAAACTTCGGGGGAGAAATAGCTCGTTAACTCCCAACCTCCTGACTTAAGGGCAAAAGTAACATATGTGTGGATCCCCGTCCTATCGTGAAGGGGACGGTGCACACTATGAAGAAACTGAGGAAGAATGGGAGGCGTGCAGTGAAGCGAACTTACAAAGCTTCTTCGACTTCCCGAGAAACCCAACCCAATCCACTGTGTCCATTTCGGGGGCCCAAAATCCCGATATTCTTTTGGTTATAGAACCGTTCGACTGCCTGAGTAATACAGAGGTCATTTTTGCAATAGTAACTGTTATATGTAAGTCATGAACGGCAACCAGAATGGTTCACGAACTTTACAGGGAGATAGACCTTCGGAAACACGGTGTCCTTTCCTGCGACAAGAGAATAGTAATAGAGTAAACCGCCGATCGGATGTTGTGCACGAGAAAGCTTGATGCCGTTTTCCTCGCTGTCTGGGATTATCGCTTCATCAAGGCACGGAATATCGAGGTCACGATCGACCGACGAAGCGGAGTTAGGAAATAGATTATTCCACAAACATTCCATATGTGAAATGGCGACTTGCATTTCGGGTGAGTTCAGCCTTCCGCCCAGGGTAAGTGACCGCTTTGCATCCGACCATGACGTTCCCACCTTGGGTCGGCAGTAGAGCTAGGGAATGATTATCATTAATTTCTTTGACAAAACCATCGCAAGATTTACCTTCAGTCTGTTTTTTGAACTCCGGACACAATCCAGGGCGAGTATCTGAATACGCGGTTTGTAGTCATCGTCCAGGCATTCGAAGTAAGATAATAGTAGCTCCAAAGGCTTGACTAGTCCCGAATCTAGCTGAGAAACGAGACGACGCAGGGGGGTGTAGTCGACATCCCACAAATTGATAGGTGATCTGGAGGTACCTTCCGACGCAACTTGTATCAACGAGGGGGTTGGACTTGGGGCAGGGAGGTAGTACGCTTTCAGGGAAAGTGTACCCGCTGGATTGAAATCGAAACCTATGGTGGCACTTCAATGAGGATGCCTTGCGGCTTGCAGCAGGGAATCGACACACCAACAAAAAATCTACTTCCCTCAGGTATCTCATTCTTCTCGTAGTTTGGAAAAAGGAAATCTTCTGTTGTACGCCGCCAGGACATGTTATCCTCATCGCAGAGCACAATACCCAAGCTTCCATTAGGGGAAACCAAGTAGTCGAGTACCGCTGATCCGCGCAATGGCATCCCGGAGTGCGGGTCTCTGTAAGATTTCAGATTCGCAGAGCACCCATCCAGCGTGGTGAGACCCACCTGGGTTCGATCGCAAACCTCACCTCACGGTTAGCGCGGTCTTTCGTTGTCCCGGTTGGCGGAATGACCCAGCTGAGCTCCACTGGACTTCCGTCGATTGTCATGACGGATGCCACTCCGGAAGAGTTAGCTGGACCCATCATGTTGATGATTCGGGCATAGACGAAACACAAGAAACGGCATTGAGAAGAAAATGGGAATTTCGCAGTTTGAAGCATAGAAGAAAACGGAGCGCCTAGCTTACGCCACCAAAATTCATCTGTAGGGGTTAACGAGGGAAGTACCTGCGCAACATGTTCAAGACGTTGGGATGTAGAATTTCGAACAACGTTACCCATGTTAAAATATCATATATCGACGCCCTGTTGGATTCTAGAACGGGAAGGCGGCCTCCACGAATAGGAAAATCTTCTCCGAACAAAGATAAAACGATAGCTCTAACAGCCGCCTCCGTAGAAGTAGGATCGATGGCCATCTTGTGGGAAGACGTTGATTGATGCCCTGCAATTGAGTTAAAGTCTTTTCAGTTTCGAGTTATACTTAGACGCACCGTAAATAATCCAGTCGACTTCACGCGAGATGTCCAATTGGAGGGTAGAAAGTGTTGTTGTTAGGTTTAACGGAAGGCTTTATGACATGTGAGAATAAGGCTGACGTTGATTATCAGCGAGTGGGTCCTAACAGCGAGAGTGGGTCCTGACCAAAGGCACTTTCACAAGTCTGCTATTCGAGAATCTTCGACTCCTTGTGGATAATAATGACCCATGACGTGGTAAGAGTGGGGCAATCAGGCAAGTTTAGGACGACGTTTTATCGGACTTCGTAAAATTTCTGATCTCTTGTACCTCGCTTTTCTGAATAAGTCAATAGGTGGACAGGGTCGAGTCATCATGAGAAAGGCATGGACGGGTTATCTCGACAAACAAATGTTACAAAAACCAACATGAGATTGACTCTTGGTTGTCCCAAGTGGGTGCAAGGGGCCCTGCCCCCAAACGTTGACAGTCAACGAAAAATCCATAGGATAGGACTATCTGCATACCGGTTGCTGAGTCAGCAAATCCTCACAAGCGGCTGGCCCTGGGTTGGAGGTAGTTCGACATTCGTCATCCTTCCTGGCGGAATGTCTTCGAAATGGACGCGCAGATGATGCCAAGAGGACCACCGGGAAATACAAGTCAAAGCGAAACACTGATCATGATTTGATATCGCCCTGTAATACACAAACTCCTTGAAGGAAGGCACACACTTCCTCCACGGCCGTCTCCGAGCTCAAAGGTTTAGCAGAGGGTTAGAACCAAGTTAGAACTGAGGCCAAGTGGCGAGCTGTGACAGGTCGCATGACACAGGAACCGCAGCTATGGTTTCCGGGACACGGTAAGTTCAGACAACTTTTGAGTTCGACAGTCCACTGATAACATTCGGTGATGGCGCCACGTAGGCGCCACCCAATTTGGACAACCAGTGCCAATGGGCAGGCTCATCAACAACCCAGGTCCTAGAGCGATACCTCCAGGAGCATTAACATTTGATAGCGCACAGTTGAGCAAAGGTGTGCTGATACTTAAACCCCTCAAATTTCCAAAGGATCAGAAAAAAAGGCTTAAAACTTACAGTTGCCCTTTCAAAAAGGCAGGAGCTCGAGCTTTGAGGGTATGTATACACGGGGACATGTTGTTGATACCCTGTCATCAAATTTGTACCGCGAGCGTCGCAGCCCGATCGACGGCACTTCACGCAACATACTTTGAGAACAAGTATCCCATGAGAATGATCACGTTCACCTGTCATTAGGTACCCACTTCAACCATCTGGCAGCAACCAAACGCCTTCCCTTGCCGAGAAACGGGGTGACGATCACATTTTGATCAATGAGAGTTCGGTTTGACGTAGAGATGACCTTGATTTTTGGTTGTCGAACAAAAAAAGACAAGGAAGCCTGATCAGATGCGTGATCAGGCTCAAGCTCAAGTACAATTGAGTACAGTTATTTAAACTCCGACAAGCTCCGACTTTGACTTCGATGTCACTTTTTTTAGCTGGAATTCCAATCATTCATATCTCAGCGTTAGGCCAGCCCTGCGTCCACACTACTCGAAACAATAATTGTAACATGACCTCAGTGTATGTAACAAAAGTCGACTCCTCTGATTCTGCAGTCTTGTTATTTTATCGGCAGTTTGGTAAGTTACCGGTCCTAGAATCGGGATGGAAATGCTTTCCAAAGCAAGTATGGAGTGCCTTCCTTGATTCTAACAAGGCTAGGTTCTTAGAAGGATTGACAAGTCCAGATATGTGATAGCTAATGACTTGGCCAGTATGTTGTTGATCTAGACCTATTCAAGACAAAGGATGAAGCCAAGTACATTTGAGTGAATTGTTTAGACACAAAAATCGGTGGTATATGCACTTGCCACAAAGTCTTACTTCTGGAAATAATCGAGGCCTTGAAGGGCGGCGAATACCACAAGCCCCAACATCGATTGATATTCATGAGACATCGTCTCGGATTTTTTATTACGTTTGGGCAAGCTCTGTTTTTCTCATTGTCTCGGAATTTTTGGTACATTTGCGCAAGGTCCATTGTTCTCAATCTACACAATTGTAATTATTGCCAGAAAAATCAACCAGTCAGCACTGCAGCCGACTTGCAGCCTTAACACAGGTTTTGGCTTGAGGTAAAGTAAGGAGCACTTAGCATTGATGGTGTTGGTCACGACAACAGTATTTTTGCATTCAGAAGCTCCTTCTCTTGCGTTGGTGCAATGTGGGGGTAATATGGTTAGTATTTGGAGAGGGTCACACAGATGAATCAATTTGACAAGGTTACGTCTCTTTGGAAATAAGATCGACTTGTGATGAGTACCCACAACGTAAGGGCATTATTAAAAATGTACAAGGAACAGGGGGCAGCAAGAAGATAGAAGTTAGTTTTGTGGCTTAGACGACACTATCGACAATGATTGAAAATCGACTTGCTGCCAGCATTAAGAATAGGCCTGAGAAATTCTGGAATTTGATTCTTGAAGCACCTGGTTGATGAGTTAGTGGTCTTTATCACTGGAGCACCCACCCACCCTTCAGCAAAGAGCTTCTAAGCTGGGTCTGTGCCTCGATCAACTCAACCGTTGGGATCGTCTGACCCCCGGAGAGTCGGCTACAAGCCCTGAGGCCCAGTGAAAGTCGGACATGCGCTGGTCTGCGGATTTCTGGGCTGAGCTGCAATGTGGAAATCCGCATACCATCCCCATTTTTTACCCACCTGCAGATTTTTTTCTGCGGATTTCAGCCGAATCTGCGCGCCAAATTACATACTTTCTATAAATAGATTACCATAGGTTTTATTGAGGTTTTGTTTGCAGAATTTTCTGCTCTCTTCTGCTCGTATCGTGAATTAGATGAAATAAGACTGATATATTGCAGAATCTATATATACACTGATGCCGCTAATACCACGATTGTTCCACTCACGGCATCCTGGTACCCGATCCCCCGATGACCTTTGCGCATATACTCACTTCGCGTGCACTCTCACACACAGACACGGTCGGGCTCCCTTGTAGATATCACCTCTTCGTGTTCTCGACAGAGCGCAGACGGTGCGATGTGGATGTGTGTTGGCATAACCGAAGCCTGGGGAAAGAAATGAGCATGTCATGACACAGCAAAAGGCTCCATGACATACCAGTATACACGATCCTCTAGTCCGTGCACCCAACCTCCAACCTTTCGAGTCCAGTGATTCCCATGAGCCACATACTGGTGAGCTGCTCATATACAGTGAAAAACATACCAAACGGAGTCTTCAACAACCAAAAGTGTGCATAGACTTACTCTCAGACATCGAGAGCTTCACTAAGGCTGGAGTGCGTGAAGGGACAATGTTGGATAGGGAGAGTGGTGGTGGGTGGGAAGAAAGGAAGATGGGAAGATGGGATCCATCAGGCGATACTTATATGAAGGCTG